ACTACCTAATAATTTTAGATAATTTGGAGTTTTGCCAATGGTACCTAACCAATCAAGTGCATTGGTGTGAAGTTTGAATGGATTGTTTTTGCAGTGTGTTAAACATGTTTTTTAAAATTTATCTGTATCATTGAAATAAATAATACATAAGTTGTAAAGTTCTGTTTTTTAACAATAAATTAATTTTTCTAAGTAAAATTGTAATTCATATTATTCTAAATGGCATAAATGAATAAAATTATTATTCAAACATCATTCTACTACAATAAATTCTTAGATTCATCAATGAGGATTCTAAACTTTTATATACTATTTTCTACTGCATCAATGTACAGAATACATAACAAATTAGAATGAAAATAAAAAAGTCTTACCTTTCCTTTGTTTTGCTTCTTGTTAATTTTTTTAGCACAAGAAGTTTTTAAAATGATTCCATGTCTCTTTGGAAAGTGGATTATAAAATTTCAGAATGATACTTCTTCCTAAAAGAATTTAAGAATTTAAATATTAAGAATAGAAAAGATCCAGATGATTCATTAGATAATTAATTAATTTAATATTAAAATCAGTTTTTAATACAGGACATTTATTGTTTCATTCAAAAGAATATAAGACAATATGCAAGCGAATGTCATTTATAATCTGATAATTTAATTCGATGCTAAGTGGAAACAACCTTAAATATTTTAAGTAAAAATTTGAAACTTTTACATTTAATATTCTATCGACAATTATTCAATTTTGATCGCTTATAAATAAAAAACGTTACATTGCCTGCGTTATTCGGGTTTATGTAATTAAACATTTACGAAAAATCTCGAAATGGAGGGAAAAATAACTCGCAATTTCCAGAAAACTTTCTATTTCAAGATGGCGTCGGCAATACGAAATCGAACGAATTCGAATCGGTGGAACGTGCGATAAATGCGTCACACGTTACGTCATAAGTTCTACGTCAGAATATTAACTAATTGCAAATGTTTTCTTTAAAATGCTAAAATAGTCCTCTTTTTTTGTAAAATATCGCTAAGATATTTGTAATAATAAATAAAATTATAAAAACGCATTCCGTAACCTTACAGGTTACAGGCCGCAAATCTAGGTTTAAAGCGTATCTAATTTAAATTATTTAATTTTGATATAAATCGAAAAATATTAAGTTACCTACGTTACGCGAGTTTTCATTATTAAAATTTGTACGAAAAATGTTAAAATGGAGGGAAAAAGAACTCGCAATTTCCGGAAAGCATAAATTTCCAAGATGGCGTCGGCAACAATACGAAATGGAACGAATTCGAATTTGTCGTTGCAATGCGTCACGCGTTACGTCACGAGTTTTACGTCATAGATGTAATATTTCGAGTATTTTAATTGCATTTTTTAAAGGAAAGTTTATTTTTAACAAATTCTTTTCTCTCGGATTTGACAGAATATTTGTTAAATGTAAAACTTCGCTAAAAAGAAAATTTATTCAGATTTCATTACAAGTGGTTGGGGTTTGATTAGAAACAATTGCGTTTCCCATTGTAAGATCGGGAATTTACAACATATTTCATACAACTGAAAGTTTTAATTTATATTGCCAGAATATTTTCTTAACTGTGAAATAATTGTTAACTGCACTTCCTTTTTGCGGATTGATTGTATAATTTACATAATAAACAACAACCCAGCACATTCCTATTACGAAATGATCTGTCAGATTATCTATTGGGCTATATTGAGCCTAATAACTAATTAGATGAGAAATCAGTTTGGCTAGTTTACTAATACCCATCATACTATTATATCAGGGGTTACCAAACTACGGCCCGCCGCAGCCGCACTGTGCCACAAATGAGGTAAAATGTAATTATTTATTTGGAAATGTCATAGACTGTAGATAAACTTACTATGTAGAAAAAATAAAAATAAGTGTAAGTAAAAGTGCCAGAAGTGATCCAATCTGATTTTTTGCATCTGACGTTAATATAATTTTTAAGGAAAATCAATGAAATGAATAATTCGGTGAATTTGGATATCAGAGTGCTTTTTGTGTACCTGCAATGAAGTTTCTAAGAAAAGATATTACGACCTTGCTGTTACGATCGTGTTTGTGTATTGGTAAATAAATATGTTATTGTCTTTATTTTTTATTTTTATTTTTTGTGTAATCACTGTATTAAACAAACAAAATGATTATGCGGCCAGCGCTCGTCATTTTCTCAGTTATCTGGCTCGCTGTGAAAAAAGTTTGGTGACTTCTGGTATAAATTAATAGAAAGAACGATTCTCCCCAGTTTAAGTTTTATCTTTCCGGCTGTTATATATAATAGAGAAAGTATAACGAACGGTCAAGAAATGACTCTCAACACTTTTTTATTTTTGGAGTCAGAGGACCTTAAAACCTTCGAAAAATTTAAAAAATTTGGGTTTTTTTTCGAATATAAGAATATTATTGTGTGTGTGAGAGGGAAATGATTTTGTTCTCACAATTTTGAAGATTCTGTGCCTTTTATCGAAAATTTCTGGAATTGTGCAGGGAGGTTTGCGTATTGGGGATTCACGGTATTAAATTTTGGTGGTTAAAGATTGAGGGAGTAGGGAGATAGAGGGGCCACGTGTCGTATCTCACTCGTTATTAGAATATACAAATTTTTACAAACCTAATCTCTACCCTCAAAATTAAGCTGTTTGCCATTTTATAATAATTTATAGTATAAAAAGATTTTTAATAAAATATAATAACGGATAGCGCCAGACACAATATTAAATTCTTTTGCTAGGACAGTTACTCAATAAAGATTTTTAAAAGGCAATCTAACTAGAAAATAGAAAGATGTGGTCATATCTTCACATAATTACACTTTAATTCGAAACAATAAAATTTAAATATTTCCAAATTTATATAATTGATAACAACTGAAAGAAATTATAAATAAATTACGAAATAATTTCATTTATTTTATTACAGTTAAACATAATGAATACAGCAATGTTTTTATTTATTAATTTATCTAAGTTTCAGTAAAATAATACTTTTTGAATTTATGATCAATTTGTATTGTAATATAATTTAGCAAATTCATATTTTTATAATAAGCCATGTAAGTACGCCGATTTGAGGAGGGGAATTTTACTCCCTCGTCAGGAATGACCTGTATGTGGGTGGTGGTTAGTGGAGGCAAAGAAAACAAGTGTTGACAATAAACCGTTTATTTTGCTGAAGGTTATGCTTACATCCTAATGCAATTACTCCAACAGAAAGAAGTTTCGACGTCTCTATCGAATCTAACTTCGATTTTCCGGATGTTGTGGATGGGCAGCGGGGCAGCGGCGAGTCGGAGTCCTGCAGGTAGATCTGGCACACACTGTAATTGTCATCTTGTCCATTTCGACAGCGACACGGAGATGAAGGGTTGCAGACGGCAGTCGAACCACAAGGGATGACTAATGGAACAAACTCCCTGTCCTTGAATATTTGCGTTTTCATCGGATTTTTATTTCTCATTCTATTCTTTTCTATGTGGTAGGGCTTTCCCTTTCTCACTCTCCGATTGATCTCTTACCTGTTTACGGGTGAAAATTGAGACCAGGGGCCGAGAATTCTGGTCACTTATCTCTCGTCTCTTCTTTCAGAGACGAATGACGTTAATTAAAACAAGAGACTAAATTCGTCTCTTGGAGACAGCGGCGATTCTGGTCACTTTTAACGATCTTGTCTTTGTTGTTGACGTCACGGTTCTACTGGGTTCATTACACGCAACGCGGTATAGAATTTTAACCAATAAAATTGTAAAATTTTCGAAAATGACTAAGACCTGCGCTCATAGTTTACCTCCTCGTTTCCCTTTTAAGTTTTAAACAATTCCCTTTTTCATTTCTTTCGATGTTTGATTCATTTCCTTTCATCTATTGTATATGAGCGACTATGTCAAAGTCAGGTGTCGCCAGCTCGACACTTACATTATTTGTTTTGTCGTTATTTGATAATTTATCAAAATATACGTTTTTTGTTTAAATACGAACTATTTCCGGGGCCTCACAATCATAACAGAAGGTCGGACGGCCAAGACTGTTAATGCGCCAAGCCTATCTCTTTGGAGAATCCGAGATCGAATCCAAACGAGTAAATCTCCAGGGCAGTCTGTCCCAGATATTTCGAATGCCGTCCCTTTCTGACCCCATCGAGGGCACGACTGAACCCACAATGGGTATGATTTAAAAAGTCTGCAAGGGGGAAAAGGAAAGAAATAAAACTTTCAGTTGTTGTTTACTAAGTTATGGCAATTCTACACTTCGGCCATCTGCCTAGGGGAATGCCTTCCGGGAGATCTTTTTATGGGGAAACTGCCCTCTATTTAGACGTTACAGACGTGGAGAAAACCTGGAAAACCCCACGTGGCCAGCCTGTCCGAGAGAGAGAGGCGCGAACCCACGACCGAACACCCAATGTTCAGAGTACGAAGACCACTTGGCCTCTGGCGGGCCTGTAAAACTTTCAGCATTGTAACTTAATAAGTCATAAGCCAATTGTTTTAAATGAAATCCGGAATATTACTATGGAATACGAGAATATGTTTAGAAGTTATCATTAATTTTTGTGAAATTTGATTGGTTAACAGATTACCGTTTGATTTTCGGCTACGAATGGTACAGTTTCTTACAGTTAACATTTGAAAAAATTTAAGATATCGTATTTTTAATTGGTGTCTACTTGACAATTGAAAATGTACCATTTCGTATCATACAAGTATCGCGATAAACATAATAATGGTAGGTTAAAATGATCAGACTATATGGTTTTCGTTTTAATGTTTGTTATAATATAGTATTTGATTTATGTAACTACGAAGGTTATCTAACGTAAGGGTTTATCACACCGAGTGCCCAATCTAAGACATTTTAAAAATTCTTTAAATTATGTAAAGTAGAGGAATAAAGAATTTTTAAATATAAAATTGAATATAATCGAATTTTATCCTTGTCATAGTCTTGATGAAAGTATAAATTATACTAATCATGCCTATTGTAGTAACAACATGACCATTTGATTTATATAATCTCTGTGTTGAGCCCGATCCCGATGTCCTACCAAAGAGTCAACATGATTAATCGTTGTGGGACTATAACAATTGAGGGTGAGGAAGAGTAAGTATACAAATACCTTTATAAATTATTTTTAAACTTTAATGTACTGTTTTAGAAAGAATAACCACATTTTTCAGTCATTCTCCTACAAAAAATAAACTTCAAACTTATTCTAAATATAGCCTATATAATGCCTGTAGACGACTAACTAAATTTACTTTGATTTTATATTTTTATTTTCTTTGTAATAATTATCGTATAATTTCTGCTTAATTTCATTCTACAATTTAAATATATTTAAAATAGGAAAAAGTACCGTTAATACAAACGTTTTGATTTTTAATATAATTGTGTATAGTACAGTACTCAGCCGTCTCATTGTGGGCCTAACAGAACTCATGATGGACCTGACAGAAAAGTCTGAAGAAGGTTACAATCTCTCAAACGTACCATAATTACACGTCAGTAATAAGAAACGGACAGCAATTAGGCACCAAAACGCAGTCTGTATTATAGAAGGAATTATATAAATACCAAATAAACCTTCAAAACGGCGTATGGTCGAGACGGTAAAAGCACCAATTTATCGCTCTATGGATTTGAAATCGAATCTAAATAGGTTCGTATTAGTAGGCCAAATATATCGGGATAATTCCTCATCATTCCTATTATAAACTAACGACGAGTATTCAAAAAAGGCCCTTTTAGTATATTTATTTAAATAGTAGTGATTTAACAAATAATTTTATATTGAAAAACTAATTGATAATTTAAATCACTTTATGCAAGATAATTTAAGATTATGTTACATAATCAAAATCTTGAGTAAGATACAAAATGAACAGTTTTGTCAATTCATCTATGGTTTCTGCGTGTTAAAAACATTTACAAATCAGTTTTTGAATTAAGCATAATCATATTGTAATAATACGTAATATCGAATTGCAATATTTATACTAAATATTACAAAATAATATTTTGAAGTTTCACCACTTTTCGATTTTTATGACCTAATTTAATTTTAAAATAAGAAGTGAATGTTAAAAACGAATGGATATCTATTATTGCATCTTCATCTGCTTCTTAGAAAAGAATATATACAGTGAAATCTCCATAATGGATATTCCCTAATAGCGCAACCTTTACTTAACGGATATTTTTACAATTTCCAGACCCTTCATATAGGACATCTATTATATTCGCTTCTAAATAACAGACAACCTTACGAAAACACAAAGTCCCGTCTTTAATATTCTGAATTATGTACGAAATATTTTAAAACTAAAACAAAGAATTGGTTCAAATACTCTTTCGGTGGATGAATTTTGACCGTAAAGACTGGTTTAAAATAGGAATAGGGTAAGAAGGCAGGTTTTAAAAAAGCCGAACAATATTCTTTATCTGTTAGAGAAGTCTGATTAAGTTATCAATCATCATTTGTCTTCATACATATTAATGTCGTTAAACCTCTGTCTTATTGTTGGAGTTGGTACCAAAAAACCATAAACTCTTCGGAAGTTATTCATTCATTCGACAAGAACCGTAGTACAGTAGTAATGAAAAAGAAACAGTTTTAATGTTATAACAACAGCGTTTATTTGGTGAAATTTCAAAGATCTTGTTACGAAGGCGATTTGCCTACCACTTTAAAGTGTAGAAAGATATTCGGTATTAACTCATTTATGACGTAGTTTATGATCTTAACAGCTTTGTGCTGACTAAAGTAATTTTTAATAAATCATGTATTGAAAAAGCAAAAATGTTCGAAAAATTACACCTATTGATAACTACAAAGTAGACAAATCGCTATATCGAGTTTTATTAGTCGATTAGATCATAAATGACGTTGTAAATGCAAGAACACCTAATACATTTCTTACCCTTGAAGTGGCTAGCAAATCGCCTTAATAACTGGTCTTCGTCCACCATCCTGTTCGCAACAACGATTTCATTTTTTTTTCCTTCCTTCCTTTTTTTTATTTCGCTCCGGTCGTTTTTTGATGAATTAATAATTAATCAACGTTTACATTTTGTCGTAATTTTTATCTTTCGTTTAATTAAAGTATCCTATACTATCTGTTTACTATTTAGAATTCAATTAAAATGTGATTTTTACAGCTGAAAAGATAAATAGTATAGTGTATATACGTATATTTTAATTATATATGCTTCGTATACTTTTTGGTATTTTCACATTTCGTAATCCATCGTATTCTTCACTTTATAATGACAAGGTTTAAATACAATATGGGCTCCGAATAGCGGACAAACTTCTCACTCCCGACGGTGTCCGCTATTCGGAGGTTGTATTATAAATTATGACTTTTATTTAAAAATTATTCTGTTTTAAACATTTCTTTAATTTTAAAGTTAGAAGTGAAACGATTTCCATCTGTTTTTCTGAAATTTTCGAATTATCATGATGAATTGGTCCTAACTTGAAACGGAATTTCTCAGAGTTTTATTAAATCAATAAATGACGAAGGTAATCACCTGATATGCAATAATGTAAATATTTACGTAACGAAATCAGAAACATTAAATTATCATCGTTAATCATTTGACTACGTCTTACATCCGTTATGGTCAGCATTCAAATCTAATTTAAATCTTCACACTTTATCATACATAATTTGCTTCAGGACGTCGTTTACCATTCCTTATAGTAACCAAATCCCACTGAACAAAGTTGAAAATGATCGTGTAACCCAGTCGGTTCTCGCCTCACAATGGGCCTTTCAGTGCTGGTTAACTTACATACAATATGGCTGATATCACATACAATATTGTATCTCCACACAATATTCTATGTCATATCAGCCATATTGTATGGAATATTGTGTGGAGACACAAATGTATAGTATGTGATATCAGCACAGTAATGCTTGTAATCAGTTTTTTCTCGATCTTATTGTTATCGATGTTAATGTTTACTATAACATTTTATTTCGTTTCTCAAATGTCTTCTAATCATACATGCATAGGCCTATGTATGATCAGAAGACATTTAAATGTATGGCTGTTAGAGTTGGAACACAGTTAGAACAATTTCACAGTTTGATTATCGTCTTAACATGTAGGGTATTCTCTATATTTTGAAAATTTCTCTTCACACTAGACAAGAATAAAATCAAGATATGTCCGGGAAAAAAGAACCGTCTGATCATCCTATCCATGCTATCTAACTTCATCGCGTATCAGGCTTATTATACAATTTATTGACTCTAGTGCAACACGAGAAAAACCCAATCTAACTATAATTTATTTGTTATGTGGTAATGAAAGCATTCGTATTGTATTGGAATGTAGCAATGTACTAATAATTAAATACAGTACAGTATTTTCATAGAATTTAACTACTTCCACTTAACAATAAGGTCAATTTTTTCCTATCTTCTAATCGAATAGTTTTGTTTCTTCAGTTTAAATCTTGAACAAAAACAGAATACTTGAACATTCTGAAGAAGATGTAAAGAAAATTCATGTGTATCTCTTTTGGATGTATTTAAACACACGAATATTCCTCATGGGTTTGAGGAAAAATCCAAGTATTTGAGATCGTTTTTCCAAGAGTAACAAAGAAATATTATTATTTTTTCATTGTATTGGATTCTTTACGATCTTGAAATCGTCATGGCTTTTAAAAAAATTAGGCTCATAGGAAAATTCTTTGGATAATGAGCACGGAAATGTTCATTATCAAAAACATCTTGCACTAGTTTACTAAGATCGTGTTCAATAATTTTCCACAACCCACTTTTTTCTCCCCTAGAAAAAGTGTAAAATGTATTCCTTCTTAATCAGTAAAGAAGCTTAACGGATGTGCGTTGGGACAAGCACCAATATAGCTGTTGATATTGCAGCAAAGTCGTAATTCATTTTGAGAAAATATTCATTTAATACTTGAAAGTGCGCATCATTTATCTTTCCACTGTTCCTATTATTTTCTTACTTAAAGCGTGGAAAAAGTGGATCCACTATTCTCACGAATACTTCATCTATTCGCATTATCGAACAGGTCAATGGATCTAATGGAGTATTATGGAAGACGTTAGTCGAAAAAGTGGAAGTTGTGGAGCATTATCGAACGTGTCCTAATATATTGTGCAATGCCATAACATTGTAAATGCCAAAAAACAAACTTTTTCAGGAAGATAAAAATACTTTTTTTCTAGTCTTGAAGGAATTCATTTCAATTTTACAATAAAATGGGTTAAAAAACTCACTAGGTTGCAAATTTTCTGAAATAACAAAATAATAAAAACGTAAGCCGTAAGACATTGCACACTTTGTATAGGCCTGATTAGTACAGTATAACGAATTGATATTGCCTAGCATATTAATTAAATTTAAAATTTCAGTGATTCTTTTTGGGGTAAAAAAACGACTTTAGAAAAGGTCTTGATTGTGGTTTGTGCATTCACTATTATTCTATCGATTTGCCTAATTATTGGAATAGCCATCATTAGTACTCGTTCACGTAAGTAAATTATAGAAACTTTAATTTCTCATTAAATATTTTAAAATTAATCGTTTGTATGTCATTGTAGAGGTTTCTGTTTCTGAAGAAAAAACTTATGAAGTATGCGATAGCGAAATTTGTCAAGAACTCGGTAAGCGAACAACCCAAGATTTTTAAGTAACTGATGTTTGTGTTATTTAGTCATAAAAATGAGTAAATAATAATAAAACTGTCAAAAGGTCTACAGATTTTCAATTGTAGTGTAAGGGATTAATACTTAAACTGTTTATTTTAGAAGAGAAATTTATTTCTTCTATCAACACCAGTATCGAGCCTTGTGATGACTTTTATTCTTACGTGTGTTCTGGATTCATGGAATCGAATTCAGGTTCAACTAATTATACATCAATAGAATATTTATTAGAACGTGTAATAAAGCAATTAAAAGGTAATAACTCTATATTTTTTCAGGTTTGTTTTTTTTTATTTATTTTAATTTACACATAAACTTTTAGATATAATTCAACATATGAAAACAAATACGTCTACAAGTACACTACACAAAAAAGTTTCGAATCTGTACAAGGGATGCATTAATACAGGTTTGTTTCTTTTTGAAATTTGCATATTTTTTCTGATTTTATTGTACATTAAATAGTTACAGTACAATTCAAAAATTACTTGCCAAATTTGATAATGAATAGACATAAGTATTTATAGTTTGAAAGGTTAATTAAGCTAATACTATAGGAAAAAGTCACATGGATTGAGATCAGAAAACTATACAGGCTCTACACGACTACCAAAATCCTTTTTTTGACAACAAATTGAATTCAAATTACCTCTTACAAAACAGCATAACATTCCGAGTGCAACAATAAATCTTTCATTACGTAATACAAAATGATTCTCGTGAAATAGGAGTTTGAAATTGGCAGGTATTTTTTGGACCGTCCTGTAAAATTAGGAAAAGTTAATGGTATATTTTAAACTAAGTTATTATCACAGATTCATTTTGATAGTAATTGGTCTAAAACAGGTTTAAAAATGAATATAAAATTATGGTTACTTATAGAAAGATATGCAAACCATTGATATCGGACTTTATTACTAATTTATTTTATCATCTATTCTTCATGCTCTTAATATTTAGAAAAGAGAGAGAAAATCGGAGTGAAACCATTGAAAAATTTAGTAAATGAAATAGGAGGTTGGCCTCTTCTCGGTAGTAAAATTGATAATGATTACGATTGGGAAAAGATGTTTGCTTTGTCTTCACGTGAATATGCAATGAATATGATCATTAATATTGCTGTCATCGTCGATACAAAAGATACAACAAGACATATTATACAAGTAAGTGATGAAAAAAAATTCCTAAATAGATTTTGTATATTCTATTTATTTTGTTTTGATTTCATATACAGTATATATAAATAAATTCATGTACAATTTAGAAATGTTATAATATGCAAAATGGAATATCTAGAAACAATTATATTAAACATACCACATGCTTTTAAATTAATTATTTTATTATCTTATAAACTTTTGTCAAGAATTCTCAAATTGTAATTATTGATAGATAGATCTTACGTTTCATGAGATCTATTAGCGTGGATTAGAGATAGAGAACGATGCCCCGATCAGTGTTATTTTTGATGAATTATGAGGATCTAGAGCGGATTTAAATCCGAATCTCCGTGGCAAACCCGTATGCTAATCCATTACCGCATGGTTCATTTGATTATAGAATCAATCTTTGAATAGAGCAATTTTATTAACAAGACAATTTATACTTCGTATTATTTTGGAACTAAGAGAAATACAGTACTATAAAGAATGGACTTGAGGAATGGGGGAAGACAGACAACCTTCTTGACTGGCATTTTATATGCCAGTCAAGAAGGTTGTCCTTCCCCCATTCCTCAAGTCCCTTCTTTATAGTACTATATTTCTCTTAATTACAAAGTTTGTGTGTTTATTTTGTGTTTATTGTTGCTATAGGACAATGACAGTTATAACTGCAATATTGTTTTCAACTTTTAACAGATTGATCATAGCACATTGGTTCACGAAGATTTATTGCTCAAAGAATCATTCAACAAATCTGACTACGAAGAAGAAATTAAAGAAATGGCAATTTTATTAAATACTACCATCGATAACTCTACTCTTCGTAAAGATATCGAAGACATAATCCATTTCGAAACGGCATTAGCAACAGTAAGTAATAAATAAATACGAAATATTTAGTACTTTTAGTATTAAAATGATTTTAGATTTTTAGATCTGAAGTGACGTATTCCGAAATATTGTATAATAAAATGACAATTTCAAAATTTCAAAGTGACCTCGGACAAAATGTAAGTAATCTGTATATCCTTCTTTATAATTTCATTTTTTGAGGATTTTTATTATAAATTATTCAGCATGAGATATGATGGTATGTTTATCATTAAGAAATCAATATATAATTTGAGAAATTCGGTGAAAATTTTTGTATGAGATCTTATTGTTACAGTGGATCCAATTCTTCTGTAATTGAATCCACTGTAACAATATGAATCTGTAGCAATAGGATATGAATGAGACATTAAGATCTCAATGAAATCTCTCATTATAACGGATGCAAGTTTTCACTCGTGCCGATCAGAGAAAACCATTGTTCTACAATAATATAAAATAATAATAGTGATTTCTTAATATTGTTTTTCTTCTTTTAAATGTAACCACCACTATATAAGAGATCTCATTCCTGGACATATTCTAACAATGAGATATTCTCATTGTTATGTAGGTTCTAGAAAATATAAAATGAATTTTAAAGTTATTAAGTTGATTTTCCTGAATAAATACAGTAGGCCCTATATGGGTAAAAACTATCAAGGGGTACACATACGAAATTTCTAAACAACTTCTAGTTAGATGCAGTTCATGCAAATTGAGTAAATAATTTATCCATATTAAAATCATATATATATTGTAGCTATATACAGTATACTACCCTATAACAAGGTAGATACGTTCCGTTTTATATGAATTCCGTGTTTTACGAGTCACTTAAATACATGAGCCAATCACAGCCCGGCACGTGTGCAGTTTACGGACTACGGCCATAAAATTAATCGATTCTAGACTAATTTGACTCAACATTTCCAAAACACGTACAATTTTTTGGGAATAATCAGTATAAACTCTGCTATAAACAAAAAATTGTAGGATTACTTACCGAGTGTGTACCGTTCGACGACGCCATTGCTTAAGCTTGTTTTCGTCGCGGAGCAGCGCATCGAACGGCGGGCGCATTTTCTGATAAGTTATTTTTCTGAGAAAAATTCGCTGAACTTTGGAGACATCATTAATAGAAATAATTTTTATGGCTGTTAAATAATAAATGGTTTTTAGTAGGTTCGCTGCTCGTTTAAACTCAACGGCAATATCTGCTATTGATATAGATTCGACCAATCCTGTCGCGACACGAGTCGGCGATGACGTTTTACCGTATTATACGAGTCTCTTTTAGCGTGTTTATACGAACTCGATCGCAATTTTTTCGCCGTGTTATACTAATCCGTATTATATGAACCAGTGTTATAGGGGGTCTACTGTACAATGGTGCCTCGTACTTATAATTTAATTCGTTGCAGGAGGACGTTCGAACTCTGAATTGCTGAAAGTCCGAATTCTTCCCATTAGAAATACAGTAATGAAAAGGAATCTCCAGAACGTCTCCAGAACCCTAAACAATACCCATTTAAATAAACAGCAAATACACCTAATTTGAGATAAAAATAACACAATTATATGCTTCAAATATTAAATTAAAACATCAAAATAATAAATATAATGCATAAGTACTGTATAATAAAATGAAAATTACATTTGACTGTAACTTTGTGAGAAGTGGTGACGACCCGTTTCTCAGCGTCATTATGCAGCTTGCTTGACTTTCTCACAAATAATCCTCTCTGTGATGATATCGCCAGCCAATTGTTTCTCATTTATTCACACTAGGAGAAGTTTTTCCATCTCCTCAATAACACGAGATCTAGAGATCAACATTCTCACCTCTATAGTCACATTTCCTGCTTTCATTGCTTCCTCGTTCTTAAGAATGGTGTATATCATTAATCGATATCTTAAACGTGACAGCCTGATCCGCCAGGCATGTATGGCTTTCATGCTTCGCCATAACTTCCTATTTCAGTTCAATCGTCAATACTACAACCTTCCTCTTAGACTTCGTTGTTTTCATACTCTTCTTGGATGCCATGGTTAATTAATAGGTAAGAATTATACATATATCCAAATATATCAAAAGATAAAGCCAAAAAAGCATCGAAAACACACAAGCGTAATGCAAGAGATGCTTTTAGAGAGAAATGACTTTTACATAGCGAGCGTAGTTCGAATGTAGAAACATCGTTCGAACTCCAGGTCGAATTTCTCTCGAATTTGTCGTTCGAATTCTGGAACGTTCGAAGATAAAGTAATTCGAAGTACTGTACAAGGTACCATTGTATACTTGCATATAACTACACACAGCATTATCAAAAATATTCGAAACTTCCATTTTATTAGTGAACGTGACTGTAATATTCACTGTTCCAGCGAAACAGACATACTAATGGACAATTCTGTACTTCCAATTTTGTGGAAATATTTTACAGAACGTATTTTTTTTAGTCTGACAATGTTCCTCCTACTAATAAAATAAGGTCTGTAAAAAAATGGTTTAATGAGTTAAATATGAAAAAATTTGATTGTCCTTTACAAAATCCTGATCTAAATCTCATTGATCATCTTTGGAACAAAATGGAGTGCGGACTGAAAGATCAATTCATCCAATTTCAGTAGATTACTTCATTCATATTCTCACATAGAACAGATAACAATTTCAGTTGAAACGTACCACCATCTAAAAGTCTTCTAAGAAAAATGAAAGATGTGTTAACAGTGTCCATTCTCCTTAGAAGTGTATCAGTTTATTAACGAGTGGGGTGCAATAGAAGTGAGTACATCACTCACTTTCCATTAATTAATACCTTACATTTAATAAACAGATTTCGAAAAGATAGAAATATATACAGTGTACAATATTACATTATGGTTCTTTGTATAAAACACATAATTTAAGTGTAATGTTATCAATGTTAAATAATTATATAATAATTTTATTTTTTATAGTTAAACATAACTAAGATTTTGAATCAAGTGTTCCAAGGTGTAGCAAACATAACTGACAACACGGAAATCATTGTGACGAAACCGGAGCTTATAAATAATGTATCGAAACTCATTCGAACTACAGATAAAAGGTACCCAGCTTATTGAAGTCATAAATATGCATAAAATAAGTATGAAAATACAGTCTGACCAAAAGTCAGTAAAAAATATCTTGAAATCGAGAATAACAGATTCACACTTGGTTTGAACCGTTGTTAAAATAATGTTTAAAAAAATCCAGAAACGATTTGCTTAACTTTCCTGGCAACACTTAAAACTACGTATGTGGCGCCATTAAAAATATAAAAAATTTTAATAATAAAATATCATAACAGATGGCGCCATACACGCAGTTTTAAATGTATCCTGGAAAGTTAAGCAACTCATTGATAGATTTCTTTTGAAATTGTTATTATCTAATTATGCAGTTTAGATTTTTGTTTTTATTTCAACAGAATATTAGCTAATTATATGGGATGGAGAATCATAAGGAATTTTAGTCCATTTACAACAAAATATCTAGAAGAAAAATATATATATCATTCATATCAACTAGGAGATTCAGAGACACCGAATTCTTTAGGAGACTATTGCATGGATGAAGTTAATGTTAATTTTGGTTTTGTTTTGGGAAATATTTATATAAACCAAACATTTAATGAAAATATCAATGTGGAGGTGAGTCAATATATTTTTATTTAGCTTAATTAGCATTAATAAGAGGTAAATGCTTTGTTATATCTCACGTTCTTTAAAATTATCATAGTTATTTCTAAAAATGCTTCAAATATTGTTAAAATATGCTTATATATTCATTATTCACTCATTTTTCTTGAATCAAGATTTGATTCAATGAAATTTTATTGTAACTCTCTGAAGTGCTAGAACATTAAATGTTGAGAGCCAAGAGATGATTCAATGCTTTATCACTTCAAAGTATGTGCTTTTAAGTATACACTATTAAAACTAATAGACTATCAAAACACAGCTGAATGAGAAGGGCTTATGTTACCGGGATGAGATGGAACCGGACTCAATTATTCAAATATAATTTTGGAATGCATTTTGGGTGCACAGATCGCTCCTTCATCAAACCATTAACGATATGAAGATATTTGAAGTCATCAATTGAATGAATGAGTTTTATAAAGAATTTAAATGCTAATAAGAAATAAAATCGTCATTAACTCCGATCCTACTCGAGATACTCACGATCCCCTTTATCTTCCTATCCCCTCGACTTTTAACTACCAGAATTTTATAGCATAATCCCTCTTATCTCTGCAAAATTTTAAAAAATTTCGACAAAAATCACAGGAGTTATTAAGCTTCAAACAGGGTGAACAAAATCGTCTCTCCACACACATTAATCACTTGTTATAATTCTCTAAAACGTCAAGGTGAAGATGCCTTTTAAGGTGCAAGGTGGGATTGTACCTTACACCTTAGTCATTGTGGCAGTCTGAGAGATCAGGAGTAAGAAGTGAGACTAAAGAAGGCGTAGAGGGTGGGAATAAACATGAAGGGAAAGAATTCGAAAGAGAAAGATACAAAAAGAGATGAAAAGATCGAATCGGTTTAATATCATCGTAAAATGGAGGAAAATCTTCTGCTTAGTGAAAATTCTCAGAAATTCAAAAGAGATCCAAATATCATCTCAGAAAAGAAAGCCAAAATCAAAAATCATCTCAGAAAGAAATCCAAGCAGAGAGATGATATTTGAATTTCTTTAGTCGTTTCCTGTATAAGAGAAAAAGTTGTATCCTTGAGGATACATATAAAAACTGTAAAAAGTATTTTATGTATAATTATTATTTAAAATTTTTAAATTAGATTGAAAGAATGGTGGACGATTTAAAAGATTCCTTTGATTCTATTCTGACTGTATCTGACTGGATGGACTTGAAGACAAAGAGAATAGCCAAAGCTAAAGTAAGATAATGCCACAAAAATATTACTAGATTTTTATCAAAAATATTTAAAATGTTGTAATTTATATTAATATATTTTTTACGAAATAATTATTTATAAAGCAAAAGAAAAAAAATGTAGTAAACAATTTTACAATCTTTTACCCTTGCAGAAATTAATAGAAATTGTGCAAATGTAACTTTATCTGTTATAAAAGAAAATTGTTGTAATTATATTTAAATTTAAATAATTTTAATATTTTTAATTACATTTTTACTTTATACATTCAGTTGCATCAAATGTTAGCCATGGTAGCTTATCCACCTTGGATTATGAATGAGACATTATTAAATAGATATTATGAAAAGGTAAAATAATTTGAAATTATATTTATATTTTTAAACTAATTTAATTGATTTAATCTTTAAAATAGGTTGGTGACATAAAAGAAGATAATTATTTTCAAAGTATTTTAAATTTGCAAAAATTCTATCGGTATAAAGAGTTACAGTCCATAAACAAGTTGGTTGACAGAACTGAACAGTAAGTTTCAATGTATTTTAATATTTTGCTCCCACCAGTGGCCGAGTGGATAAAACCATTAAACACTGGTAATTGGTCTTGAGTTCTCCCCTCGTCCATGGGCTAGCCACGTGGAATTTTTCGAGTTTTCCTCACGTTTGTAACACCTAAATCGGAGTCAGTTTCCCATAAAAGTCGCGGCAAATCGCTCACGTGTCGTATGAATAATTTATAGAAATTGAAACTTGGAGTCTACAAAGATGAATACCCTACTTATACATACAAGGAATTTTCTATTCCAGAAACTTGCTGTTATTATTGTACAAGAAATATTATGTTCTTGGGTGTTAAATGATTAATTAACGATGAATTATCACACCCGTGAGAGTTCACAGTAATGAACCCACTACTGAAATTGCATTGTATTGGTGGGGACCAAATACTGTATATCCTATTTTACACTTGAGAATGTGCATAACGAAGAGGGTTTATCAAAGAAAATACATTAATTATATAGTATAAATCCTTTGTTAATGATATAACAAGTGTAGTTTCATGACATATAAAGATGTAATTGAATATATCAATGACTTCATAGTAAATTTCTGTTTTCAAACTTCAGTCTATTTTATTTACGCTGACCGACCCCATAATGGGCTAAATTGTAGATGACTCATAGCAGCGATGTGCTAGTGCTTCGGTTCAATAAATTAATCAATAAATTATTTGTTTATCAAAATTTTAATAGCAACTTCCGACGTACTTTTTGAGTACGTTCTCATTGTCAGATTATAAGAAAAATGGATATAAAAATTTATTACTCACTTTATATCTCATCTCTTTCAGATGGAAACATCCTACAGAAGTAAATGGATTTTATGACATTTCCATGAATACAATCGGTAAGAAATTGCTAAAATGATCGTAGCTTTTAAATCTCACAATGACAAATGTAAAACTTATCATACAAAACATGAGTTTAGAAGAGCGTGGCAAAATTAATCAATTTTAATTGTTGTTTTGTATACATTTCGGGTCTAAAACCTTCTTCGGCTCTTGAGAATTCTTTAAAAAGCTGGTCCTAAGTAAAATCACGAAGAAATTATATTTTTACTTTAATATTAACACATAAAAGGTAGAACAATGGGGTTAATTGAATAGGACGAGAAGTTTTCAACATATCAGCTAAAATCGTGTTTTTCTAAGTAAAAATAATCTTAAAATTGTCTATTTTTCAAAATAAATAATAAATTAAATTACAAGATGTGTTAACCTTTTAGAATTTCCTGCTGGAATCTTACAGTTTCCACTTTATGACGTTGGTCTTCCAAAGTAAGTATAGCAAATACAATGTTACCACACGAATAAATCTAAATTTAATAATTAATTTTTAACTTTAGCGCCATTAATTATGGGACAATAGGTTACCTTATCGGCCATGAAATTACTCACGGATTCGATAATGAAGGTGAGGTCCATTAATGGAAATAGTTATTTCGTTAAAAGTTAACAATAATATATTTTCAGGTAGTAAATACGATTCCTTTGGAAACCTACGAGAATGGTGGAGTCCCAATGTCAGAAAAATTTTCAATAATAAAACAGAATGTTTTGTGAATCAATATAACAGTTACGAAGATCCTATCACAAAAATGAAGGTATAAAATATATTTCTTTTATTGAAATTGTAGTGTAAAACTCTATATGATTACATAAAACATAAAAATATATCTAAGCATGACTTATGAAAGAAATTTTGCAATTCTCATTCTATTCTTTTTTTCTCTCATTTCCACATCTTTTGTTTTAGATACAAGTGCACTTTCTTGCACCCTCCCCATAGCACTCTTGGAATTATAGGAGGTTTAATAAAATACAAATCACACTCAATTGTAGCAAAGTGGTAACTTTATTTTCAATTAGCACAGCCCAAGCAAAATTTAAAAAGACGATTTTTAACATTAATAAGGGGAAATTGACTGGTAAATTAGCATATTTAAGAACTTAGGAAATGATAACCTCATTGTTGAACTTATATTGTAAGGGATGACACTCCTCTTGGAAACATGGATACTTTTAAATGTAAATGACCATACAAACCTGAAATACATCTCTAAGAATTGCTGCTTGGAATTTAAAAGGTGTTAAGTCGACACATACAACACGGAAGACAATTCTTACTTCATATAAGTAACAATTCTTACTTCATATAAGACAATTCTTACTTCATATAAGTAAGAATTGTCTTCTGTATCAACCGTTATATAAGACCATTTTCATAGAATAAATAGTAATAAATGTACATCCCTGATATATTTTAATTCGTTATTTTTCCATAATTTTTTCGTATGCTGGATTACATATTTAATTAAGTTAATTGAATTTATTGAAAGCAAAAAGTTTAATCATTTGAAATAATGATGCTTGAATTTAATTATATTTTTTAAACTTATCATTTTTTTTTAATATTTAATAAAATATTGTTTTAATTTCTAGTTAAATGGAACAAATACACTGGCAGAAAATGTTGCAGATAATGGAGGAGTTCATACAGCTTTCAAGGTATAATTTTCAGCAGTATAATAGTAGGTTGCTTTACTATATGTTATAGAGAGTTGAAGCACCATATTATTGTATATTAATATTACGTAAAATGTCATTCTTGCATGGGTTTTATTTATACAAATCCTTTGTGAGTGTGTTAATGAGTTGATACACTAATCGGTATCAACTCATTACAGAAATCGCAACGCCACAAAGGAATGTGCATAGCCACATGCAAATTGAAGAACCGGTGGCAGTGACAGAGATGTGCAAATGATCTAGTTTGCGTACGCATCAGGTCATGTAGTACCCAGTTTCGGGCTATAAAGACTACCAGCCAGGCCGTAAATGCTATCAGCAACGGTTCGCAGCAGCCAAACTTTTGAAGAAGTGTAGAAAATGCCTCGGAGATAACAGCAAGCCGAACACCACCAGTTAACGGCTGGGGAACAAGACCGTATCTACAGCGCGACCTCGGTTTGTCGATGTGCACAGTTGCCACGCATGTTGGGCACGACGTGAGTACCTAAAGTGATGTGCGACACTATGAACGCAGGAACATCTGCGAACACGCCGAAGAGGGAGTGAATTCCACCGTCACACGAAAGAGTGCAAAGAACGGCAGATTCGGCCAAACATCCGAAGCCGCCTGTCTCCATCAACGGGTGCATCTTGACCACCCAAACCATTCCAACAAGTTGCATGAAGTCGGGCTGCATGCATGGCAACCAGAAACCGGGATGCCATTAACTGCTACACACAGCGCTTGGTGTGGTGTCGTCATCATCGTAACTGAACCACTGAATGTCATCGAGTATTGTTTACGAATGCATCCCGTTTCTTTTTGTGGAGGAATGACGAATGTGGCGATATTCCGGGGTATGCTGCGTGCTAGCACTTTTCTCCGGGTGTCACACTGGCCCCACACCGGGTATCATAGTTTGGTGAGACATCATGTACGATCAGTGGACAACCCTGGTGCACATTTCCGGTACTCTGACAGCAGACCAATACGTTATATGAATTGTGGTTCGTCCACTGGTGCAGGCCGAATCTGACACGATGTTCCAGCAAGACAATGCCCGACCGCACGTCGTCGTACGGCAAACTCTCTCCAGCCTTTCCTAGCCTGCAGCCTCGCCGGATCTTTCTTCTACCGAATACCTGTGGGATATCGTTCGACGTGATATGCACCGGGGACCACCGCTATATACCGTAGAAGACATGCGTGCCGCAGTGGACGCAACTTGGCATGTGATACCTCAGCAGTGGCGTATCGTAGTGGGGGCGGCAGGGGCGGCTGATACCCACGCTACACCACTGTACCTCAGGCAACCATTAATCGCCTCATTGATAGTGTGCCTCACCATATAGCGGCTTCTAAAGCTGCCCTTGGGGGCTATATTCGTTACTAAATAAACAGGTGTACGTTGTATATCTTTGATCTTTTAATCATTTGCATATCTCTGTCACCTCTACCGGTCCTGCAATGTGCACGTGGCAACGGTCATTCCTTCGTGGTGTTGCAATTTCACTTTTGAGGAGTATATTATAGTTTATTTTGTACGAAATTAACTCACTATACTTATTCGCCAAATAAGGCCCACCTAATGTTTAAAGATGTTTTGTATTTTCACTATTAGAGGAAAAAGTCTGAAAGTTATACTGCAACATACTGTAAGATGTGTACATGCAGAAATATGAAATTAAAGTTAGTAGCATTCTAACAGTTATGTATTATGTAATGGGCCGTATTTGGAACCCCCTGTCCCAAATAAGGCCTAGGCGTAAAAAAATAAATTATTAATTAAAGTAAAAAGTAAGAATTACAATTAATGTACAATAAAAAGAAAGATGGGCTTTATTTGGTGAATGTACATCATAACAGGGGTAGCCAAATCTTGTCACGATAGGAGCCATATGCCGTGTATCACAAATACGTGAGAGCCACATCCTACATTGGAACTGTGTTTCATACATAAAAATGCATAAAAGTCATTTTTAAGAAATTTACATAAATGTTCTATTTCCAGTTTAATTTACACACTTACACAGTTAATTAATTTTGATCGATACATGGTGATCCAAAAGATTTGTGCAAAGTTTAATGCTTCATTACAACTAAACGACATATACAAGTATTACACAGGCATCGTTTAAATAAGCATTTGAAAGCATTTATATTACAATGTGTTCAATATTATTTGCCGATCTTTACAGCCGAAAAGCATCATAAAAGGAAATTAACTTTTCTACAAATTCTCTATATCTAAATCCTTGAGGCTTAGATTTGTGGAAATGGACTAGATTGATAGGATACAGCAACACAACACATGGGCGATCTGCCAAGGAAAATGTGCTTTCCGGAAGGATTTTATGTGCTTTTGGAAAAGTGTTCCCCAGGTAGGTATTAGACACATGAAGAAAACCGGGAAAACTCCTCGCCAATAAACTGGTCACGAGAAAACTCCCCGTGACCAGTTTATTGGCGAGGAGCAACTACCAGTGTTCAGTGATGTTATCGAGGACTCGTGGAGATGTTCCGACAATTACGTGTATCAAATCAAATCAAAGACTTTGTAGAGTGGGTGAAATCTTTTCTATTCTGAAAGATATTTTTCCAAAGTGTGCTGCTAAATTTTGGATAATATTTAGGAAGATTATGAATATAAAATTGAGGGTAAACGTACTGAACACATAGCAATGGTTTCATAGTTTGAAAGATATTTGAGTAAAATTTGCAGTGGCACATTTAGAATATGATGACCTTAGACTCATAATATGCAGACCTCCAAACTAAGTGTCAATTCTGTACTAAATGATTCTATTTTATAATGTTAAATATGCCCCCATTGTATAATGTTAAATTTGCCCCATTTTATAATGTTTAATATGTCCTGGCCAAATCCATAATGAACTTGCTCTTAATGCCCACAGGGCGGAGTTTAAAAAATCTTTTAAAATGTTAAATCTGCAATAACTATTTTTACCGTTTCCTAAATACCGAAAGGGCAAAGGACACTGCTACTTAAAAACTCGTCATTGGTACTACCCATGCAAAATATATTCATGTATTATTACTATTCAATTGATATGTCTTACTTTGTAATAACAAAGTATAAATGAACAATAGTATAAATGTTTTTGTACTTAGAACACAAGCTATAAATCTTAGAAAGTTGTTCGAGCAAATAGTTTATAACCATTCTAAATATTAATTAAATTAATAAAATTAAACTTCTATTGATAGGCATATAAGTTATACTTAACAAAATATGGAATGGAAAACGATAAAATCCTACCAAAGTTGAAATTAACTCCGGAACAATTATTTTTCGTTGCATTTGCTTCCGTAAGTATCAGAAAATTTTATTTTACTTTCTCGCTGTTATGTTTACATAATAATAAAAAGTGTTGGAATCGTGTCAAATTTGACTTTTCGAGATTTTTTACAAGTCTTTACGTTTCGAGATTTCTGGCACGAGTTCTCCCTATACGAATTTCCATTTTAGTTTTTCTTCTCATACTGCCCTTTGTGACAATTGGTGAAAAAAACGTTTATACGTTTCTCCACTAATTGCCATAAAAAGCGGATGTGCAAGACCCTAGATAAGCATGGATTTGCAAGATCCCTAATAGCGCAAGACTCCTAAAGTCAAAAATTTCTAAATTATCTATACTTAAAATTGCCACTGATTTTAGTCAGTGGTCTTATTGTTTAATAAGTTTTGTTATATTGTAAAAATTTCAAATTTCAGTTGCACTGTTCACACGAGAACGCAACGGAACTTAAATACAACATCGAAAATGATGAACACAGTATTCCTCGCTTCAGGTAAGTATTTTCTGCAAAATGTATAAAATATTTATGTGTTCTAACAATTTATTTGATTCTCGAAATAACCGAGATGACAAAGACACTCTCTCCCGCTCTTCAAAAGTCGGGTTCGAATATGACTTGGCTCAAAAATTTTTATCAATCAAACTGTATTAGGCCCGTCCTTCAACTTCCATTACCCTCATTGTAAGACTGAGTAAATGGGCATAATTAAGAGTTCTGTTAACACATGAATAGAAGCTTTTCATAACTGAATCAGGGCGATAATCGCCAGGTGTTAGGGTGATGGAATTTTCGATAATTCAATTTAATTAATGTATATGTATTGTTGTTCAATGGATAATAATATATTTAGGCTAATATGATGTATTTAAATATAATTATTTATTTATATTTCAGAGTATTAGGATCTCTTTCCAATAATCAAGATTTTTATAAAGCGTTCAACTGTAACGATAATTCAAAAATGTTTGGCAAGGAAAAATGTTCGCTTTGGTGATGCAATTCAATTGAAAGAATATATGCAATATAAATAATATTTGAATATAACATAATATTTTCTGTAAAATTATGATATTATTTTTGTATTCGTAATTTAAAAGATTAAAAATTTAATTATGAAATTCGTTCGATTTTTTTTTTCATTTGTAAATACACTTTTACTTTTCCGGCTGTTATATATAACACAGAGAAAGTACGACGATCGGTCAAAGAATGACCTCCCAGATTTTTACATGTTTGGACCTTGAAACGAAGAGAAATACAAAAGAAAATTCGAGGGTATTTCAGTACGTATGGAGGTTTGTGTAGGGGGGAGCACGATTTTCTTTACCCTGTTTGAAGCTTAATAACTCCTGTGATTTTTATCGAAATGTTCTGAAATTTTTCAAGGAGGTTCGTTTATTAGAAGGATTGATACTATTAAATTTTGATGAGTAACGGTCAATGGAATGGGGAGATAAAGAGGATCGTGTGTATCTCCAGTAGGGTCAGACCTAATGACGATTTTACTCGTTATTAACACTTATAACTTTTATAAAACCCATAAATTCTTAGGGATCGAACTGTAATAATGTCTTTGTAATTTAAATTTCAGTCCTAAAATACAGGGTAGTAATGATTAAACTGACCCTAATCAAAGCCCTCTGGGATTGATTCAAATGGATCTAAGTCGATAAATCTTGGTATGTACAGTACAGTAAAGTATGCTGGTCATGCCATGATGGGGAATAGAATTCGGGAAAATAAAAATTAGTTTAAAATTTCGACACCAGGCAAATATATAGCGCTTCAAGAACAGAAACCATGAGTCAAAATAAGTCAACAAATAAGGAGGCCATTTTTAAGCAAGCCCATTATGGGTTCGGCTAGGCCCACAATGGGGCCTGGCCGGATGGTGAGGATCGTGGACGGCCGAATGGCCGAACGGTCAAGATGGCAGCCTACCGCTTTGGGAAATCCGGGATCGATTCCGGACGGGTCGAAAAAATCCCCAGAAATTTTTCGGGGTGTGATCCGATCGGATATGACGGTCCCTATTCCCTTCTGACCTTTTACGCTGCAACAGGTTGGTAAAACCCGATCTCGCAGTCGTAGGATGGCTAGGAGGGCAAAAAGTGAGTGGGGAGTGAGTCGGTAAGCCGGCAGGCGTCCTTTCAACGACAGGAGACAGGTTTAACAAAATAAACAAGCATTTATTTAAATAATTAAGCTAGGATACAGGAGGCTATAACAATACATAGGCTAAATGAGGTTAAATATAAGTTAACCAACAAAAGAAATAAGGTCACTCTAACAGCTCTATCGGCTATCCTGAGAGAAAGTTCACAACGATCTAAATACAAATATATGAGGATATGACTAATATGCGTTCGTTGAATGGGCCGTATGAATCGTAGTCGGCGCAGGAACGGTAGAATGGCAATGGAAGTGCGAAGTGGCTTTCTGTCGTATGGCGATGTTTTTTCGGTCGCTATGTCCGGTGTATGGAGACAAGATGCACACATTAATCAAATTAATTTTGTCGCCCGGAGCTTCCGGGGTGTCGAGCTTTTATACGTTCTTCGTGGGAAAGGAGTCACGTGATCGACTTTTGTTGACACTAACGGTGCATTCCGATCAATTAAGTGTAAACTTTCCCACCTAATTGTGAAAACAATCAGTGACCTCCGATATAATTCTCACCAAGTGTATTTTTTTCATCGGAGTTGTTTACAAAGTTTTTTTTCCGACATCTGCGAAAAAATCGCGGGGCTCACAAATTCTTAGCAGTATAATTTTGGTTTATTTCAATAAAAGAAAAAGAAATTTAATAATTAACACTTAAAAATTAAAACACTGTATAAAAATAAAATTTTAGTTCTGTGTTTTACCGTTTCGGCGCTGCGTACTCTACGAAGTAGAGAACACGTGCTTCGATTTTCATAATGGTTTTTAAAACATGTTTTACATCTATTTAGCAGTTTTTAGTGAATTTATATAGGATAAACAATGTTTGGCGTTAAATAATGAATATATTAAGAATGACTTCTTCAAATAAATTACCGATTGTGGTGGTAATAGGAGCCACGGGATGTGGTAAATCGAAATTAGCTATCGAACTGGCCAAAATTTTCAATGGGGAAGTAATTAGTGCTGATTCTATGCAGGTAAATTTTTAAGCATAATTGCAATTCTGGATAACACTCTTGGGATCTTAACACAGCGTAGAGCATCTCTATTGCTCTGTTATGATCCCAACAGTGTTATTCACATCTTAAATCTCACTTATTTTTACATTGTAGCAAAAGTATAAACATACCTTTTTTTTTAATTAATTTAAATTTAATTTATTATTTAACAATAAAAGTTTTATCAGATGTTTTTATACTTTAATTAAATTATATATACAAAGTTTTATAATAAATATAAAATAATTATATAATTTATACAGGTTTTTAGATTTTGACTACAGATCACCAACTTTATTACTCAACTTACTTGCAGAAATGTGTAATGTTTTTGATAAACCAAATGAAAAAAGTGGAAAAGCTTAAATAAATTTATTTACAGGTGTTAAGGTAATGTAAAAATAAAAAAGAAAGTTCAAAATAATTGCGTTTTTAATAATCGATAACCCAGTTGAGCTCATTCACCTCCTTCGAGTTTTGTCTTCGACGCCACAGTATATTACCGTGTTAGACTTTAAATTTCATCCCCGGTGTCAGAGTGAAGTTTAATTTAATTTCGTTTTGTTGTTATATTATTTTCAAACCATTCAAATTGTCGTGTTTTAATTTACTCTGTTATTAGGATAAATTTTTATTTAAATTTTATTGATTAACAAAAACGTACTCTTGTTAATAAGGCTAGAAATTAGTGAGAAAGGTTTGGTGCTGTTAATCTTAGAAATAGTTCTAGCTACATATGCATAGTAGTTAAATTTTATTATTGCAAATATACACAAATTACCACAACTTAATTTTATAATTAAAAATCAACCGATCTTAAGTTAGAAAACCTACTCGCTTAGAAAAAATGATTAATTTAACAACATTTAATAATTAAATGGAATATATTAAACTTTGCATTATTGTTAAAATAAAATTAATTTAATTAAGATTTGTGATTGGTATAGCCCAAACCACTACTACTTCCATGTAGTAAAAATATTTCATGAATTTCTTGTTCTGTTAGACCAACCATGAGGCATTGTTTAAATTCCTTTCAAAATTTCTAAACACTTTAAATTGCCACCGTATTTGATTTCAAACTATTACTGGCCTTTATTGGCCATAATAATAAGAGCAATTTAAATTATTATATGTATTTAGTCATTTTTGGCCCACCAGTGGCCGAGTGGTCTTCGTACCCTAAACACTGGGAGTTCGGTCGTGTGTTCGCGCCGCGATCGGACAGGCTGGCTGCTTGGAGTTTTCCGGGTTTTCTCCTTGCCAATAACGACTAAATAGGAGGCCAGTTCCCCATAAAAGTCCTCCCGGAAGGCATTAGTTTCCCTCGCGTAACATCGCGTCCCAGAGAAGGCAACGGGAAACCACTCTGGGTTACTAACTTTCCCTAGTATACACCTTGGCGCGTTACTAACTACTTACTAACCTACGCCAGGTGTCGCCGACGTCAGGAATCTGATATGGCACCATGAAGAAGAAGAAAGAAGTCATTTTTGAACCTGTATTTATTATTTTGTTACAGTCCAAAATTTAAAAATTGAAATAACTTTTAAACTAGTGATCAATTTTAATATATTTTGGTAAATTTTTATATTAATTATATTTAAAATCTGTAGCTATAAGTAATTTTTATCGGTTTTTAACCTAAAATTAAAAAGGCTTCAAAAAACAGGTGTGTTTATACTTTTATTACAGACTGTATGTATGTGCTATATTACATAAGTAGTTTGAAAATTTAAGTTATATTGGTCATCCTTAAAAACTACACTCGCAGAGCTGTCAATTGCAGATCCCTAGTAGGACCATCCAGTTAGGTTCATGTTCTCTAATAGTGGTTCCCATAGCAGTGAAATGTTGACAATGACATTTAGTTAGTCAAGATTTTTGATGAAACAATGGCTATATTGAAGAAATCAGCCGATCATTGAAGAACAATGAGGGACATTCTTTTGCAAATGGAGCAAATCCATTTGATACATGGTTTACCAGTGATAAACTATATAACATGCAGATTGATGCGGCTTAGAAACATGCCAATAGTTTTCATCCTCAATCCTTGCCTGATATTAACTATCAAGTAAGAGCCTTTTCAAAAATTATGTTTTTGGGAAAGTCCTTATTATATGTACTGAGCTTCTGAACTGGTGATCTCCTTTGTGAGGCATGAATCCAGAAACTGTAGTCTTCATTACCCTTAACTGCAGCTTTTTCAGCCAGAATTGAATGGCCTTTTTTTTGTTCTTTGGGCTCATTCAATCCAAACTAAGGAACAAAGCTTGGGACCCAAAAAGCCACCAAGCTGGTAGTGGTGTTAAAACAAATACGTGTATGGCTGAGGTTTAAAGTTAGTAACAATTTTATACCTTGGTAATCAGAATCACCTGCACAATAATCATAGCATGATTCCTTGTTGAAAACCAACCTGAAAAAGTGTTATCTGTTTTTTGATTGGATGTAGAATTTCAAAAGGTTGGAGGAAGAAATGAAAGTTTACACCATTATCTTAACTCATACTTAATGTGTTAAAAGATTTTATATTACCTTGACTCTATGTAATACAATGGGTGATCAGTTAACGAACATAATCCGTTTCAAGACTTTGTTCACTATTCGAATTGTTCGTTATCTGATTATCGATTTACCATAGGTTTCTATGGTAATTTGATTAATTCATTCTNCAAGTAAGAGCCTTTTCAAAAATTATGTTTTTGGGAAAGTCCTTATTATATGTACTGAGCTTCTGAACTGGTGATCTCCTTTGTGAGGCATGAATCCAGAAACTGTAGTCTTCATTACCCTTAACTGCAGCTTTTTCAGCCAGAATTGAATGGCCTTTTTTTTGTTCTTTGGGCTCATTCAATCCAAACTAAGGAACAAAGCTTGGGACCCAAAAAGCCACCAAGCTGGTAGTGGTGTTAAAACAAATACGTGTATGGCTGAGGTTTAAAGTTAGTAACAATTTTATACCTTGGTAATCAGAATCACCTGCACAATAATCATAGCATGATTCCTTGTTGAAAACCAACCTGAAAAAGTGTTATCTGTTTTTTGATTGGATGTAGAATTTCAAAAGGTTGGAGGAAGAAATGAAAGTTTACACCATTATCTTAACTCATACTTAATGTGTTAAAAGATTTTATATTACCTTGACTCTATGTAATACAATGGGTGATCAGTTAACGAACATAATCCGTTTCAAGACTTTGTTCACTATTCGAATTGTTCGTTATCTGATTATCGATTTACCATAGGTTTCTATGGTAATTTGATTAATTCATTCTGGAGACTCCAAAAACTAAAAAATACAGTGGTGCCTCGTATAACATACTTAATCCGTTCCAGGTGCATGTGCGTTAAATGAAAAGTCCGTTATACGAAATGCATTTTCCCATAGAAATACATCTTAAAACATATAATTTGTTCCACAGCATAAAATAACTGTACCATAAAAAAAATGAAAATGGAGCAGTCACCAATTATGCCGGGTAGTCAGATGATGTGAGAAGGAGGTGGAGGAACACTTTCTTCACACATTCATACAGATACAGACTTTTTACACATTGCAGCAGGTCTCTTTTTATTGTTTTTTAATCGGAGTCAGATTTAGGAGAGGCTACCGGAGCTTGCAGGGTCAACTCCTCTTGTTCCATCCTTTGTTTTTTGGTAGCTGGCTTCTTGAAAAACATGTCCAAGGTGGTCTGTTTCTCTCTCTTCTTCAACACCTGTCGAAAATGACGGACAGGGGTGTCATTGTAGAGATCATTGATCCTGTTGGCTCAGCTCTTGGATTTGGATAATGAGTGTTGGTAAACTCCTGAACCTCTCCTCATTTGACAAGAAAGTTTTTGTCAACTTTCATTATTTCTGATGATTTCTTGTTTGTTTCAATTGAAATCATCTTTCTGTTTTTTAGAAGCCATGATTTGCACAACACTTGAATAAATGTAAATACCCTGCACTGAGGTGATGTACTGTACGTAATAAACAAGGGAGCAATGATATACTGTACGTAATAAACAAGGGAGCAAGCCAAATTCCAACGGGAGCTCTGTACTTCTGATATACTAATAATATATTCTAATAATACTAATATATTATAAAAATAGCAGATTGTCATTGGCAACGGCAAAAGAGTNACTGTACGTAATAAACAAGGGAGCAATGATATACTGTACGTAATAAACAAGGGAGCAAGCCAAATTCCAACGGGAGCTCTGTACTTCTGATATACTAATAATATATTCTAATAATACTAATATATTATAAAAACAACAGATTGTCATTGGCAATGGCAAAAGAGTAGAAACATCATTCGCACTTATTCGCAGCCAGTCCATTGCTCGAGTCACGTAACGACCAAACAGAAAGTCCATTGTTCACAGCGTCCGTTATTCGAGGCACCACTGTATATACTTTATTACTACTTTTATTTATATGTAATAATAAAAATACATATATACACAGTATTGCATTTTTATTAGTTATGTTTTTTTGTTTGTAGGGGTTAAAGAATCTGTCCAATGTCGATTGCTTTTCTCTCTTCTTCAGGATTTTTCAGAAGTAATTAATAGCATTGTAATTGTAGAGATCCCCAAGCCTGTTAACCTGAACCTGGTTTGTATGCCATTCTAAGACCGTCGATCTGACGTCCCCACTTCTTCAAAAGATCTTTAATTAATAGCAGATATTGGCATTAATCCTCTTTTTCAGAATAAAACATATCTCACCAAGTTTCTTGGTGTTCTTCATTGAAGGGTTCTTGGCATTCTTCATTGAATAGTTCTTGATGTTCTTCTGTCACCAGATCTGTTTCAGGTTCCACAATGAGCTCTTCATTGTTCTTTATATATCAGATGTGATTTTTGTTACTCCTTTAGCTGCTTGAGTCTTCTTGATTATACTGTATCTTTCTTAGATAAGATTGAACTGTGCCCTACTGTAGATTTGTTCAAACCATACTGCCCAGCAACATCAGACATCTTCTGCCCAATCTATAACTTTGCTATTATACTCTCACCTTTCGAAAATAAAAACCGACGCAAAACTTAACGAGTGCCCGCCCAACAGTCTCGCAAATACAATAAAAGAATTGTTTCTGTCAGAAAAATAAAAGGCTGGAATTACAAGGGAGTATTTCAAAGTTTGAGGAATACTAACCGATCAGTATATATCGGGTTGAGTGTCGATGTTGACATCTCCCTTGCTCCAAAAAGTTTCAAATTGTTACCTGAAAACAAGGGAAAATCAGTCAGTATTTGCTATTTCCGTCACTTATTTTTATGTTTGTTCAGTGAAGTGTTCGTTGTCTGATCACAAAAATCTTTCGTGTAAGTGTTCGTTAACTGATCACCCACTGTACTTTGTTTTGATTGTTTTTGGTTTTTCAGTTATGTCATACAGTGTGCAAGAGTATTGCAAAATGGGGTCATGGCTCAGCATTGGAGTAGCAAGGCTATACAGTCAGCAATACTCAACACAATATTGCTGATCATCAAGTCATTCAGTGTCTTGACTGTTGAATATACAAAACAGGTAGATTCAAACCACTGCTGAATGTATATAGTGGAAATGTACTGTACATTTTGTTTGTACCATACCTATTGAGGATACCATATATTGAACAACCAGTAGCTGGGCAATTGCACAATAGTTAGATGCACTGTACTATTCATTCTGCTCAATGAGGACTTTATCCATGATTTTGCATCCATCACTTCACATGGATGCAAAATCTTTTGTCAGTAGGATTTCCTGTAAAGATAGGAGTACTGTGAGTGGCTGTTACAGCAACAAACCTCAGATAATACTTTCATCCATCAAGATTGTGTTCAGTAATGCAGAACACAGTCAGAATTCTGAATGGTTTTCTGGGTGGAACTAAGAATGTTCTGAGCATTATTGAATGATTATTCTTTGCCACACAACTAGGAAAACTGGCAGACTAAGTTAAAATTAAATAAAAAATAAATATAATAAATTAAAATTGTCATTTCTTTATCATTTAAAATGATATTATTTAATCCAGCATGAGCAGCCATTACAGGCATAAGCATAAAATTCTTCAAAGCAAAAAACAAGAGAGACTGAATGATATCACTAAATTCAGTAAATCTACTAAAAGTAGTCTGTGTAAATGATAAGAAATCTTACAGTGGGCATAGTCAGAATTACGAGAATCTTGTCCAATATTGTGGCACAGCCTGACTAAGTCAGAATTATGTTAGTAAACACAGTCCAAATCATGTGGACTGACAAAGCAACATTTACACATGAGGGTATCTTTAACAGCCCTAACAACCATGTTTGAGCATTAGAAAAATTTCCATGCTATACATTTACAAGCATACAAAGTCCATTGGTATCAATATTTGATGTACAAGGTCTGTTCAAAAAGTATCGGACCTTTTTTTCTTCTGCGTAAACCAATGATGCGAGAGAGGCCTCCTTCGGTGGAGTTGTGGAGGGGACAGCCATGCACAGCCCTGGATTTTTTCCCGCCTGCAGGAAGCGTCAGTCGTTGGCAATCGGCCTATGAGTGAGGTCATGTAGTGCGCTCTCGTCGGATTCCACTAAGCTGGAAAATGACTGAACAACGTGAGCAGCGATATTACATCAAATTTTGCCAAAAACCTTGGCGATACCCGAGTGTAAACCATTCGCAAGATTCAGCAGGCTTTCGGGGACGATCCTCGAGGCCAAAAAAAGCGCGGCAGGTCCGCAGCAATATCAAAGGTCATGTTGACAGTTTTTTCGACTCTCGTGGGGTGGTGTGTCGTGAGTACGCACCACAAGGCCAAACCATCGCAAAGGAGTACTACCAGGAGGTCCTTCGTCGTCTTTCCGATACAGTGCGACGCAAACGACCGGATCTGTGGTCGATCAAAACTTGGCAGCTCCATCGTGATAACGCATCCGCCCATTCTGCGCATCTGATTCGGGCTTTCGTCGCCAAACACAATACTCCTGTGGTTCGTCACGCTCCGTACTCTCTCCACATGGCTCCGTGTGACCTTTGGCTATTTCTCAAGCTGAAAATGCCGCTAAAAGGAACCCAAATTTAGTCGAGAGAAGACATCATGCGAAATGCGACGGACCGGCTGATAACCATTCCAAAAGATGCGTTCCAGCAGTGTTTCCAGCAATGGCAGGAACGCTGGGAGAAGTGTATACATTACCAAGGAGACTACTTTGAATGGGATTAGTGTTTTGTACCTCAAAGTCAATAAATTTATTTTTGCCGACCAAAGGTCCGATACTTTTTGAACAGACCTTGTATTGTGCACAAAATTCTTGTGGGACCATATCTTCTTCCTGAATGTCTGACAGCTGAAAATTAGTTTTTTTGTGCAATGTCTTGCTGGATTTTTTAAATGACATACCTTTGGATTTTTTGTTTTCTTTAAAACGTGTTTTAAACACTTTGTTTTGAACATTTATTTTAAAACAAACAACCCTAGGGCCATATTCTGGTCACTTATCTCTCATCTCTTCTTTCAGAGACGAATGATGTCGAAAAAAGACAAAATTTGTCTCTCAGAGACAGGCAATTCTGGTCATTCATAACAATCTCGTATTTGTTGTTGATGTCATGATTCTATTAGGTAGATTATGCATGTTCAGGTTATCTGCACATGCAAAACAGTATAGAATTTTAACCAATAAAATTGTAAAATTTTTGAAATTGTAGAGTACACATTCAAATAAAGCATGTAATTTTGATAAAGATTTGTTTTTTGTTTGGTAATGTTTTTAAATATTGTAATGTCAAAATGTCTCAGATAACATTGTCTTTTATAACAAAAAATTTTATTAACCTAAGTTATAAAAGCATACATATTTAGGGAGAAATTAGAATGGTAATATTTCGAAAAATACTTAGAGAGACGGATAAGGTTAACAGCATATTGAATAGTTCAGAAATTGATGCAGGATCGTTAAAAAAAAGATGAAGTCAGTGGAGTTACCGAAGTAGCCGCTTAAAAAAAAATCATAAGTGTAATAATGAAAAATTAATAATTAATCAATTATTAATTTTTCATTATTTATTTGATTTATTTGTTAATTTTCATTAGTGCATCCACTAGGGTGTTTTCCGTTAATTCTTTTCTGAGATAATGTTCCTAATATAGTTGTATAAGGCAAGTAGCGTCCATATGTCCATATTGGATATAACAAAATCAGGAAGAAAACTATCTGCTTGTCTCTGAGAGACGAGAACCTTTGAGAGAAAAAGTTGTCCAGAATCGCATTTGGAGAGATGTGGTGATCTCTCGAGACTCTTAAACAAATGATTAGCTAATCAGCGACCAGCTTGTGACATAGATACTGTCTTTCAGATACAAGAGATGATGACCAGAATACAGCCCCTGGTTTCTAATGTTATCCTTCAAGTCTGTAAGTAAATAAATATTAAAGATTTCAGAGCACTTGTTGCAACATGCATGGTGGCTTGTAGCATCATCAAGTCTATTCCTCACAAGTAAATGTTTCATTTGATTACCCTTTGTTTAATTAAGTAGTAATTGAAGCTGTCACATTGTGAGAACACTTCTGAAACTGTCTGAATTGCAATTTTTTCCTGTAAAGAAATAGAAACTGATGCCATAAAGTGTTATACTAGTTATCAGTTTATAAGACTCATAATATACATAAGTAACATAATAAATGTATAAAGCATATAAACAGATATAAAGTATTTACATAAAATAAAAATCTGAGAGAACATCTGCATCACTTTTGCATCTCGCAGATCTTTGTAGAAACTGATTTGGACTAGTACCTTTAGGCCATACTGAGTAACATTGTAGCAAAATAGTCTTTTACTAGCGGACTATGATATCTGATGTAATGGTAGGAAATATTGAAAATACAAACAAAAAGTCATATACAAATCAATTTTAATTATTTGAAGCAATTGAAACCATTTATATACTGTTGTTGCTTAAAAAAATACTTACTGAAACTTGTCAATTTATTTCCTGTAGTTATATTTTATAGTAAATTATTAATTAATGATGTGATCACTAATATTAAAAATATATTAACAGTGTTGTACTTATGAAACTTTATTTATTTTCAGGTGTATAAAGGATTAGATATTATCACTAATAAAGCTACGAAGGAAGAACAACAAGGAATTCCTCATCATTTATTAGATTTTGTTAATCCTTTCAAAAGATTTATGATTACAGATTTTTCAAACCTTGCTCTGCCTTTAGTATCCTTTCTTAATAAATTTTAATGCTAATCTATTATAAGCTAAAATATTTATAATAGTTCACTAACCTGCCATGCCCTTCCATGAACCTAGAATGATGATTATTAGTCCAAAATTATTTCTTTTTTTATATATTTATAATGAATTAAATTGTTTAGTTTCTTTTTTTAATACAAAGTTTTAAAAACTGCATAAATGCTGTTTATTTAAATTTACATTAAAGGATGCTTATATAATTTCAAATAAATGTGAACAAAATGTAACTGAAATTTTCAATAAAATCTTATAACTATAATTCTAAGCAATTGTAGACAAATTTTCTTCAGGTGCATGTATGTAATTTTGTTTTTCAATCTGTCCCCTTTCCACAGAGTGTTCTTATGCAACCATAATAAAAATTGTTTTATTGGAACATTATTTTGTAACTTGACAATGGCATGAAGTTTTGAGAATTTAATGTTACCTAAAATATTCTTGAAGATAATTTGCTTTCTCTGAATGTTTTAAGTATTGTGATGGTCGTCTTCAGAATGAAAGTACAGAATTTTAGTTTTAGAGTTTAGTTTTAGTTATCAATTATATTTTATGGCATGAATTATAAAATTGTTCAATCATTTATGATAAGTTTGCTAAAGAAAGATCATTGGGCTGCAATTTGAAAAAATTGTAGACCTATAAATTCCTTCTGTTGTCCATCCTTCCTTAATCTTCAGAAGGAATAATGCAACAACTACTGCCATATGACATTGGACAAATTTCATATTGCCATATGAAATTTGTCATATGGCATTGGTGGTTGCTTTATTATTGTGTATTGGGTTTTGTGGTGATGTTTATACTCAAGAGGAAGTTAGATAGATGAAAAAGAGACCAGATATGGGAAATGTAGGAGCAAGAAGCCCTGATTAGCTATATATGAACTTTTGGTTTGCGCCAGAACTCGGTTCAAAATTTTCCTCTGAAAACAGTGGTAGATGATCGGCACGACTCTATAGATAACAGGAAAAGTATGATGTACAGGGGCAAGGCACTACTAATTTGAGGTGGAGAGCATATATTTTTAAGTTAAATAAATTAAGAATTTGATTATAATTTGCAGCCCAGCATTGCAATCATGCCACAATAAAATAATTGCTTTTTCTTATTAGAAAAGTTCTTTAACTTTGAAATTTCAGATTGATAACATAATACAGAGGAAAAAATTGCCCATTATAGTTGGTGGAACAAACTACTATATAGAATCATTACTGTGGAAAGTTTTAGTACCAAAAGTAAGATTATTTAATTTTATATAAAATACTTATAAAATTGCTAGTATTATTTCAATTACAGAAATTAATAAAAACAAAATTTGAATCAATCGATACAGCCAGATTTTTATGCTATAATAAGACTGACTAATTATTAACATACTAAGTAATTTGAATTAGAGGTAGGTGATTAAGCTGAAATCTTGTGTTAAATTTATTCATTAGAAATGAACAAATAAATTCAGAATACGTTAGAAGAAAAGATTGATCCAAACCTGCAAACCGTGGTTTCTGTGCAGATGCATTACTAGTTACACTAACTGGACCTCCATCTGATATTTGCTTTCAGACCAATTAATTTAGAAGATATAACCATACTGTTTGCTTACTCATTACTTAGTATCATAATTACTTAATCATATTATAGTCCAATAGGAACCTGGCTGTACCATTTGATTATTTATGAAAAATTTGATGTTGGCCAAATGCCACACAATATGCTATCTATCAATACATATCACCATTCAGAGTCTGTTTCTCCTTTGCTTTGGATCCTCTCAATTTATCACATATGGTATTGATAGAAAGATGGTTCCCTTATCAAAACTTGAATTGGGTTACACAGGTAAGTGATAGTATTGCTTCCTATTTCCAGGGCTCTTGTTTGTCCTACCTTTCTTAGTTTTAGAGTACAAAATTTTGGATAAATATATATATATTTTTTTGTTTTAGTTATTCATTATTCTAGACTGGATTAGAAATTCTTTGTAGACTTCTGTTTTCAGAATACTATAGCTATTTTTCATCTTACTTTCTTATTCACATATCACAGAAATACAACAACTGTATAATGTCACATATATAACAGGAATTTAAAACCAGTTAAATTATGATTGCTGGGTTATGTTGAACGGATGTATGTAGACTGGCTACCAAAATTTGTCTATATCCAAATAATGGAAAGAGTCTAACATTGAGGGCAGCCACAAAAATATTTTTAATAGTTTTACTATTAAGAATATTCAACTAGAGAATTATTGTAGCAGATAGATAAAGTTGGAGAAAGATTGTCTGTAGCATAGAACCTTAGAGGTTCACAATGCTAGCAAGATAACGATGATTATGATAGGAGTTTTTCTTGTAAATCAAGAAATCGTCATTCTGTTGATAAGTCATGGCTCCTTGATTTTATATTGTAAATAACACTTACTTCATTCATAATTATAGATAACAAGCTGACTGCTACTATAACATGACAAACACCTATTACTTATCCGTCAGTTTCAGATCTTCTAGAAAATTCTGCATTCTTGCTAGTTTTATTCATTTAACTTTGTTTCCAAGAGTAAAATTTGAAAAACAGGAAATTAATCAGGCACTTATTATTGAATTGGGAATAGTGAAATTACAACTGGTCACTTAAAAGGGGTACAAGACCACTTTGATTGAAATGTTCACTTATGGGAAGTTCAAATAACATAACATATGGATTTTCAAGGAGAATTTTCTATTTACTTACGCAAGATGTTAATTACTAAATGTTTTGCTGTTCTTGTTTTTATTTTCTTTTACAAAAGTTTTTGCAATATAGCATATAGTGAGTGCAGGAGAGATGATGGAGCCCACATACTATTAGTAAAACATGTAATTTTATAAACGTTTTACTAATGGTGTATTTTATAAAATTGTATAACATAATGTATTTGATGACTTATAAGACACACTTGCTCTATGTCTTAGAAGCTGAATGTGGTAATGATGATGATTATGATGATCATATCAATAATGAATCAGAAAAAATAAACTTACTTTTCTAATCACTTAAAAAGGGTTTTTGGATGAATAAACAAAAATTCCAAGATCAAGAATTACTTAAGAGAGAATTAATTTCCAGATATTTTATTTATATACATTTTGGATCTATCTTCATGTTGATCCCTCTTTAGTAATATGTACATATAACAAGTAAAAATAAACTTGTTTCTTCTTTTAACTGAAGATTTAACTGAATTAACATGCGACTCGATGCAATGAAATTTTATTGTGCATTAAAATTCATTTACCTAAGTGTGAGAACCGAGGGGGTTAGTTGTCCCCATTTACCGGCGGCTCGGTCAGAGGATGGCTTTATAGGAGGGCAAAATAAAATTGAGTGGGGAGGTCAGTGAGTAAGTTGACAGGTTCCCAAATGAATACACAGGTTGAACAAGAATAACACATTTAATAAACAACTATAAAATAGTACATATCAAAGGCTAAGGTGAAGATCTACAAAAATTCTATTCTATATCGCGACAATGATTTGTCTTTCTTATGAAACATCTAATCTCTATTCTCTAAGTTAAGAGATGACAGAGAGATCTCTAGAAGAGAGAATTCGCAGAGAGAGAGTATACAAATAGATATCCAAAAACAAATACCTCTAAGTTCCCGATCCGTAATATGGGTCGTTGGTAAAAACGTTCCTGGATCGTCACGGCAGTATGGCGGTATTGGTCAGTAGATGTGGCAGTCGATGTCCGCCTTTTGGGGATGGCCGCCCTGTGGACTGCGTCCAAACCCTCTTTATACTATTTTTGAGGGGGTGAGAACTATGACATCATTCATGATTTATACGCACACCTGTTCGTGTGTTGATGTCTAGATCTAGCTTGTACTGACAATTGACACAGAGAAGTTTGTTTAATTTATTGCTATCAGTGTCTAGAAATAGGTTTGACGGCTCTCATCCATAAATTAACATTCATCTGACAATAATTTCTTTAACCTGGTCAACTATCTAGATATTGTTTATATCAAACGTCGCGTTTGACTACGAAGGAGGCGATTTATTGCCGTAACCACGTGTCACGTGCAACCAAAGAGGGGGTAAAAACATCTCTTATTCCTGTCTTGTTGATATTAACGACTATAGAATTACCTTTAAACAAATGGAGGAGATTTCTTTTATTGATATACTAACGATTTTTTTCAAGGAGATCATCTCGGTCATTGACTGCAGAAGTCCCTCTTTTTCCCTTTTTACCTAATCACGAAGTTTATTAGACTGCTCCAAAACAAAAGGGTTTTGGATCGTCACATAAGTACTCCTCCTCAGGCAGATAAGCATTCTACAAAATGATTACTTTGTACTGAAAAATTTATTTTTAATTTACTATATTTTGCTGATTATGGTTTTTATTAAGTTTTTATTTAAATGCTTTAATGTTTTGTAAATATTAGAAGTTCAATAAAAAAAGAATGAGAATGTGTTTTTGCTTTATTATTAGTAAAGTGCATGTTTAAAAAACTGAAAGCATTTAAGGGATTCAGATGCAAAAGATAATACAGAAATCCATCATTACTGCAAACTGATTCTTTGCCCCCTGACTGGCCTTTTGGGACTTTCTTACAGTACATCCCTGTTAATGTGAAATCTCCTGTAACTCAGTTACTGGATTGCATCAGGCTACTTTTCAGCAGTTATATTTAATTTTATTTTTTCTTTATCAAATGAGTAGAAAAAATTTTAAGTTTCTTTATTCAATATTTAATTAAAAAATTTTTTTTAATTGTATCTAATTTCCATAAAAAATATGGAGTATAAAATTACAGACTACTCTCATTTTTATATAGATTGACCATCACTAATCTGTCAAGCAAGCAATAAAGTGTGGTGTAGTATTCTCAAATTTTTGACAATAGCCAATCAACATTCATTGCATATGCAGGTACAGTAAGGAGATGACTAAATGAGTTGCACACAGGTGTATGAGTAGAGTTCAAAGGTTCCAAAAACAGCCACAGTTCTGTGGAAGATTCTCTACAGCTAGGACCACAATAGATGCCATGGAGAATCTTCCACAGAAATGTGGCTGTTTTTGGAACCTTTGAACTCTACTCATACACCTGTGTGCAACTCATGTAGTCATCTCCTTACTGTACCTGCATATGCCAATGGATGTCTGATTGGCTATTGTCAAAAATCAGACAACACTACACTGCTCCATACTTGAAGGTTAGACTATTTACAAAAATATCAAATTTTCGAGTCTATCTTAATCCTTTTTATACACTCCATAAGTAACAGTTAACATGGGCTTTATTGAAGAATATACTTCTTAAAACAAAGGTAAACAATAAGTACTTATTATTTACCTTTGTTTTAAGAAGTATATTCTTCAATAAAGCCCATGTTAACTGTTACTTATGGAGTGTATAAAAAGGATTAAGATAGACTCGAAAATTTGATATTTTTGTAAATAGTCTAACCTTCAAGTATGAAGAAATATATCCTGAGTAATTACAGAAATTGTATCCACTACACTGCTCTTGATTCATACACTGCTGGAGAGATGCCATCAGTCCATTGTCTTATGTTTTTGTTTATTCACAGTGTTGCCAATTACAGTTGTTGTTGCCTTTAAATTGAAATTTTCATGTGTCAAAATTACTATGTCATGCTACTTCGTGTGTCAAAAATACTATGCTCATCCTCCTGACTTTTAGTCGTACTTTTCTGGTTTTCTACTGAATGTGCTTTGTAGAATTTATCCACAAGCAACAGATTTTTGCTTACAAAATAACAAAGGCTCACTGCAAATATTAACATGTCCAGAATGTATATTTAAATAAAATTTAAGCAATAGATCAATTTTTGCTTATGGACATTGTTTTGCATCTGAGCTCTCATTTAGAAACTAAGAAATAAAAATTACATTAAAAATTAAGAAGGAAATTTACATTTAAAAAAAAGAAAAGAAATTATAAGACTTGAACATCAGCACTTTTAACATTTAAAAAAATATGATACTGAAATATTGCTTTTCTTAAAATTATCCTTCTTTTTTATTATTTGTTGGTACTCCTTGTTTTTACTAGTTGCCTTCACAGTAAATTTGACACAACTAATATGTTGTATGTCAAGTAATAATAATAATTTTAATTGCAGAAAGATTTCTGTAAAAAAAACTTTCTATTGTGTAGGTGCTAAGAGAGCTGTTATTTGTACTGTTAATGGGTTTAAATCAGACCCAGTAGAGACAGGATGAGAAATGATTCAAATTTCCAAAATTGAATATAATTCATACATTGGAAGAATGATAGACAGATTTATTAACTACATCATAAATTTTCATATTTAGTAATTACTTTGAGCAATCACAAACATGGATTAAACCTCAAATTGAGGAATATGATATGACCACAACTGCCGTAAATGATCAGGCTAAATTTGGATATAATGATTATAAATTAGAAATGAATTTGGCACTAGAGTGAGTGAGGCATTAGACGCCATCTCATATTAAAATTAATAATTATAATATTTAATTAATTAATTTAGATTAAACTGGAAGAAAAGAATTGGCCCGAATTGAAACTCACAACTCCTGCTAACCGTGCAGATGCATTGCCAGTTACGCTACCCGGACCTTCGGTTCAATCTCCTCTTCCAGTATATATAAGCTTACGTTAAAACCACCGATGATTATTATGGTGCTGACTGGGGACGCAATCATGCTCTTGGCCATTCAAATCTTAAACTTATATATACTGGAAGAGGAGATTGGATCGAAGGTTCAGTAGCTTAACTGCCAATGCATCCACATGGTTAGCGGGAGTTGCAGGTTTGAGTCCCACTTTGGGCCAATTCTTTTCTTTCAGTTTAATCTAAATTAATTAATTAAATATTATAATTGTTAATTTTAATATGAGATGGCACCTAATGCCTCACTCTAGTGCCAAATTCATTTCTAATTTATAATCATTATATCCAAATTTAGCCCGAACATTTACAGCAGTTGTGGGTGTATATTTGCTTAATATATCGGATTTTGGTTGTGTATATTTGTATGATATGACCTAATGGGAAATCACCTTGCAATTCAGGATTTGGACTAACTAATTTTGGAGAACAACTACCAATTAGTTTATATTAGTCAACTGAAAACACCTAAAGCACAGTCATTGATTTTGATGATAAAGGAAAACTTCAAAAAAGTGGGTTAAATACAAATCTAAGGATTTATTAACAAACACTTGCTGTATTTTTGTGGAATGACCGGCATGCCACGCAAAAACGGGAAGATCAGCATGCTGGAAACCCCAGGGTTATTGGCATGCTGGTTAAACTGTGACTAAAATATAAAATTAATCAGATCTAACAAAACTAGTTGTTAATTAATTAAGGAAAACATTCTTCCCATTACAATGAAATAATAACATTGTGATTTGACTGACTTAAAATCAAGAGGAGAATTTTCGTTTACAATTAATAACTTACATTAATAATTTGTATTAAATTATTCATTACATTAATAATTTGTAATTAATAATTGCAATTATAGTTAGTGTAGCTACACTGACCATCTACCTTTAAAAATAACACACCTTCTCAAATCTGATGTTAATTGGTATAAACTGAGATAATTTACAGCAAGTTTCTTAAATTTAGTATGTTTATTTTTGCATTTTTGAATCAAATAACAATAAAATACACATAAAAAAAAGCACTTTTGGAATTCGAAGAATATTTTACATCATTATAAAGAAGACAAAATGAAGAAATCAGACATATAATTATAGTTTTTGATGTAATGCTGACAGTTTCACAGTTTTAGAATAAAAACTGGTTTGTTTTTACGTGATGTAACTCATTCGTTTTTTTTTTTTTTTAGTGTGTCCTTTAGAGAGGGATGTATAACCTCACTTAAACTGGCATGCTGGCTTTTACCATACAGAAATAGACGATTTTGTAGTCTCCCCAGATAGACCAGCATGTTGGTCATTCCGCAAAAATATGGTACAATGAACTACAAATACTTGGTCAAACAAATTTATCAAAAAAAGAAAATGGACTTTTAATTAATATTCAGTCAACATAAAAATGAGTCTTACATAACAAACAGTTCTAAATTCAAAGTTACAATTATAAATTATGTTTTCACAATCTGATGCAAAGAAAATGGCAAAAACTCACTTTTGTCACTCAGATCACAATTATGAAAATTTCATTTTGGTCACCAATTATAAATTTTGCTTTATCTAATCAATTTACTTGTGTATTATATGCCTGAATGATGTTACAAATAGTCTGGGCTTATTTGCATTTTCTCACATACCAGTTTTTCATTTTTCTATATATTTTTTCTATTCAATTCTTGTTATCAGACTAATAAGAGATGACAAACTGCATGCATTCTACAAAATTCTCTTGGTCCAATGACATGCTTCATATGACAGTGCATTACCAAGTAGGCTTATGGTAAGTTAAATTTTAGCTTAATTTTTACAGTAATTAGGGAGAAAGACTAATAAAATACTCTAAAACAATATGTGAAATTCATTGCATTCTCTTGCAAGTCATGGATTAATAATAATTACTAATAAAACTGAACTTAAAAAAATCATTAAAACTTTCTTGTATTTACAAAAAACGTTATGTTTAGTATTCAAAGAAGAAATTATAATTGGATAAATGTCTCTCTCTTATGATTGTTTAATGTTTTGTAGGAATTGGTGGATAATTCGTTTTGTGGGAGCAGTCAAGAAGAGAACATTAATATAAATTCCAATAGTACCTTTGAAAAAAATAATTCAAATTCATTCAATAATAATCTTCCAGAAGATAAGATTTCTGACATTCAAAATGTTAAAAAAATCTTTCAAGTGCCTATAGATTTTGATACCTTGGACAATATTTCAAGTCAAGAGCTTCATGATATGTTAAGGATAATAGATCCCAAAATGGCAAATACACTTCATCCCAACGATAGAAGGAAAATCATAAGGTATATTTTTGTTAACTTCTTTTATTTAGTTATTGTTTGTTTTATTTAAAATTGATAAATATTATCCAACTATTAAATCATTTGAGAACCTCTTTTGCTGCATTTATGCCTTCAGTTGGTTTGGTCTCCCTTAATTAAGCAACTCAATACTTAGATTCATCACCTATACCAGGGGTGGCCAATAGTTTTTACCCCGGGCCGAATTGGAAAGAAAACTTTTTTCATGGGCCAAACCAGAGGCTGCCCTAGGAAGATTTTCAGGTGATGTGAGATCTGATTGTGGTGTCACCTCGTAGAGACTAAATTTTACATAGAGATTACAGATACATTTTTCACATTATCATGCATTATCAACATTCTATGCTGTACTTAAGAGATTTGTAATGGAGGGTTAACTCTAACCAGACAGTGAGTTGTTGACCTTTTTTTTCTTTTAAGCGTCAGAATTTTTCATCGAGCTATTCGGACTTGTATAGCTAATATTGAAAGATTAATCGTGGGCCGTATAAATTCATTAGACAGGCCAAATCCGGCCCGCGGGCCATATATTGGCCATGCCTGACCTATACCATCTAAGCAGAGGCCTGAACAAATTAATAGCTTGAAATAGAAAGAGTATCTGCATGCATGAATGGTACAAAACAACAAAAATAATCTGATTTTAGTTTAGTTTTACTTATTCTGAACATGGATTATTTGAAAATGTTATGTACAGTAGGTCAATAAAGTATTTTCACACCCTGAATTTTCTAGAAAAATTAGAAAACAACATGCATTGACAAATTTTAGAGGTTGCAGATTTACTGACTTTTTTGTTACTGGTAAAACAGTAAATTTTTAAAATGTTACCAGTTACTAGTAAATTACCTGTGATTTTTAAATTTTGACTCAAAACCCAAATGCAAAAATTAGTATGACTATAATTGTCTACTTGCCCACTCACCTGTGAGTGGACAACTAAACGAACTTTGGTACTCTACAACCAATTGAATTCTCTCTCTCTCACTTTTTTTTTTTTTTTTAAATGTTTCATTTCCTGAAAATAGATCATGCCATAAGGTTTTAGTTGCCATGAGTAAAAAGTGGTCAATGTAAGCACTCTCATTCAAATAAATGTGTTCCATTTTGCCAACTGAAATCACTATTGCACACTAGGTGTTATGATGAAGAAACAAATTACTAAACTGTGCAGTATAGCCATTATATGATAGTTTAAAAATTGTGAAGAACTGAAAAGTAGTAGAATAAAATCTCAATTTAACCGACAAAATTTCTGGTCATATCTCATGTGAAAATTAATACCTTGTTAATTTTAAAATGCTTTTTATACATAATTAAATGAACAGGTTATCTTTTTTCAAACCCAGGAGTCATTGCTCATAACTTCATGCTGCAACAGGAGTGTCTCAATATATTATCTTAAGACAAATAAATAGGAAATTTTTTTATGTTTTTAGTCAAATTAAATTTTGTTTTCTTTTTCAGAACATTAATTATATTTAACTAAATAAATAACAATGTCCCCAATACAATTTATTTAAGTGTTCTTGGTTGTTGGTTACTTTTACTTTTCATATACAGTGGGTGATCAGTTAACAAACAAATCAGATAACGAACACTTTCACGGAAGATTTTTATGATTGGACAATGAACACATGTTCGGATAATGAACACTTTACTGAACAAACACAAGAAGAAGCGAGGTAAAATAATGAATACCGATTGGTCTACCCTTATCTTCGGGTAACAATTCGAAACTTTTCAGAGCGTGGGAGATGTCGACATCGATGTTCTACCCAGTATATACTGATCGGATAGTATTCCCCCGAACTTTGAAACTCTCCCTTGTAATTCCAGCCTTTTATGTTTCTGACAGAAACAATTATTTTATGTTTTGTTCTGAAAATGCGGATTTATGCCGATATTTGCTATTAAAGATCTTTTGAAGAAGTGGGAGGATGTCAGAACAACGGTCTTAACCAGGCAGACAACGGCATCCAAACCAGATTGAGGTTAATAGGCTTAGGGATCTCTACAATTACAATGCTATTAATTACTTCTGAAAAATCATAAAGACAGAAAAGCAATCGACATTGGACAGATTTTTTAACCCTCACAAACGGAAAAAACATGACTAATAAAAATGCAAGACCGTGTATGTATGTATTTTTATTATTGCATATGAATAAACATAGTAAGAAAGTATATATTTTTTATTTATAGGGGGTCTCCAGAATGAATTAATCAAATTCCCATAGAAACCTATGGTAAATCGATAATCGGTTAACGAACAATTCAGATAGCGAACAAAGTCTTGGAACGGATTATGTTCGTTAACCGATCACCCACTTTTCATATACATTGTACTTTTATTATCACTTTTTTCATTAAAATATGCAGTTTATTATCTGGTTGAATGAAGTAGATTGATACTATATTCTGGTTAGAGTTTGTAGGTTTTTAAAACCTGGTTTTTTGAAGAAATTTAATTATTTGATTAAAAACATCAACATTTTGATACAAAATCGTCTCTGGCATAAAATGGGATTATTGTTAAATACTAAGTTTTATAAAACTAACTACAAGACAAAAAATTCATCTATGCCTAAAAAGTGGCCAATTTGGCTCAATTCAAGCTCTAAATGAGACAATTGGGACCTTATCAGAGCTGTAGAGCATATCCATAAGAGCAAAAAAGTCAAAGAAACCATACCTCTACAAGTGACCCTTCGTGTGTACAGCCTCCAAAATCGGGTCGTGCGAAATCGATTATATAAATATCTTCAAAAACTTGAAAAGGTGACTTTGTCCAGTCCTAGGACACTAAAGTAGTAGTTTTTAGTATTACAGGGTAAAAACAGAAGAACGAAAAATTTAATTTATTATTTAATGCTTTAAAGATGATTAAACCCAGCTCAGTAGCAAGTGAGAGAGTTTTTTTTCTATTTCTGGCAATTTTGTGTGCAAAATAAGGACATAGTTGAGCAATAGATCTATAGACGTTCTTTGCTTTCTAAAATTATATTTTCTTAGGGAAAATAAGAAATAAAATATTTTGTAGGCATTCATTGTTGTTTGTTTTTCTTAATGGTTTTCTATGGAGTAAATTTTATTTTAATGTGATATTCTAGCATTTTTTTTTTTGTTTTGTTTTGTGTAGATGTTGGTCGATTATATTTTGTTATATTCTTGAAATGTTATAAATATTAAATAAATTAAAAAGTTTTAAAATAAGTTGTAAATATCTCTTATTTCCTTTTTTGGATAAAAATTGAGATTCTTTTGGAAAATTGAAATTGAGAAAAGTTGAGATTTGAAAACCAGTTTTTTAAAAAACTTAGTTTTTGTATAAACCCTAATTTTGGTGGTAGGTTTTTGTTCTGAATTACTTTCAGCTATATTTCCACGAACTTCTCCTAGTGATATGCTGCAAGATCACAATAGGAAAGAAATTAAATATCGCCATTTTCCAGGTGATCTGGGAGTTGAATATCCAAAACTTGAACCAGTGTGATGGAGTCAGTAAACAAAAAGTCTGACTCTGATTCCAGCACATTTGCAATGTGCAATTCCGACTCCGACCTTATCCTCTTTTAAAATGCCAGCTGCAATTCCTTTTATAATAAAGATACCAACAAATATTTTTATCTAAAATTTCTATATAAAAAGTCGTACTAAAATTGATGGTGAGAATCAAAAAAATTGATGTAACAAATTTATCTTGGAAAAATTTTTGGGTACATAAAGAAATACACTATGTCTTAATAGCCACTTTATTGGTTAATTATGAAAAATTGATTTAAATTTAATTATTTTCAAGAAAAAAAATTAAATACAATAAAACAAAAAATAAATTAATAATAAAAAATAATAACGATTTGATGAATTGTCATTCATCAAATCGTTCACTTGGTCTCTGGTGTTTGATGGAGTTATTATTATGGGCAATCTCAATGTTCACATAGGTCATGAAATTGATACTCATTTAAATACAGCCTCACCAAACATTTATGATGTGAGGCAATCAAAGGATCTGAAAGTTGATACAAATGGTAAACAGTTTCTACAGTGGTTAATTGAATATGACAGTTGACTAAATTTAAAACAGTAAATAATAAGCTGAAATAATCCTTCTCTTTTAGTTTGTTGAAGTTAGATTCTGACCTAGGTTTTACTTTTTCATTGTTTTCCTATTGACTGTTTTAAAACCAAATTGTTATCGAAGCTATAATAAATAGTCATAAATAACTCAAACTAATAGAAGGGCAGTGAAAAAATTAATTAGTCAAATTAGTCCAAAAAAAAAAACAATTGATATCTAAAGTAAAACATCTGAGATGTAAAAAAATATCGAGCTAAGTAAAAATTTTATGGCACTTGAAATGAAAGTCAAAATTTTTCTTGGGAGTTGCTCTTTGGTAAAGATATTTTGAAGCAATACCATAAATGTTTACTTTCCAGTTGTGATCCAATGACTAACTATAAGTGTACAGTGGATTTATCCACTTGGTCACTGGTGGATCTTAAATTAATAAAAGCTATTTTCTGAAAGTATAGAGCCTCTCATGTGACATACACCATAACATTTTGTTATGAAATTGTTATGAAAGTGTTTTTCTTACTTCAAATTTGATCAATAGTAAACTTCGAGGTCATAGTCACCAGAGTTGAAAGAATTTTACCGACTCCAACTCCGCCCAAAAACATCTGGCTCTGCAACACCACAACATCTGACTACAACTCCACAACATGGCTTGAATATTACTTTAAAAAACAATAAAACATTTCAGAAGTAGACGATGAATGCTTAATTTCCTCGAGGCAGCATCTGGAGTCAACATTAAGCACAGTTGTGGTGAAACTGACAACTATAGAAGATAGGTTCATTGGTTTGGAACAGGCCTGTTTGGCTACTTTATCCTTGGCAAAATCATTGAAGAATGAATGTTCAAATATTTGAATACAACTATATAAACTGGAGCGATGAGAATAACTTTTGCTAAATGACATTGGTGAATTGCACATTTTTGCTTACAATAGACTTAATTCCTCAAGCAAAAATAATTTGATGTTTAATCATAGTGTCCCATGCGAGTTAGAAATTATCAATTAAATAGATGAGATAGGCGACATATCCAGACAAGATGCAGTCAAAAACTCCCAACTTCAGGGGGAAAAAATTGAGAGTTTTATTGTATTCAATTGTCATCATGGAAAACTCAAAACTGTACTTTGGAAACTCAGACAAAAGTTCCAACAGGTTGGCAGAGATCGACAGGAATCATTTAGTTTGCCACTATATGAAATTGATTAATTCAATTCACATTTTTGCCATATGAAATTGGTTGCTCACTCATCAGGATTATCGCTCAGTAGGTAGATGAGTTTATTTATGTGATGATGTTTGATTTGTAGATGATAAGCATTATACATTTTCTATTTCAGAATCCTGGCTTATTGAGCTTCTTCCTCCTTTTTTATTTTAAACATTTTTCATGCATCAGATTATATGACAGGATTTTTGGTTATAGTTATATAATCTATAAGTGTTTACTTTCATATTTTTTGTATCTCTGTTTACTTTCATATTTACTGTTACTTTTATTCCTATTTTTATATATTTCAAGAATTTATTTTGTTTAATTTTTCAAAAAATGTCATTGTTTGATTCAATCATTCCATCATCAAATATACAGACTAAGTTGATCTTAAAGATGATCTTAAAGATGGTCTTTAAACTGAAGATCGAAAACATTAGTAAAAATAATCTTTTTTCAAATTAAAACCTTACTGGAATACGATTTAAGGCTTTTGATTGAAATTTTTATTATATCATTCCGGTCTACTAAGTGCTGTTTTAACTCTGTTAAGTTTTGTTCTAACAATAACTGCATAAGTGAAAATATTATAATTTTATAAAATATAAAAAGAAAATAATTAATTTATTCACAAAACTTTTTATAAATTATGATGTATGTAATTTCTATTGTGCATAAGTTGTATAAATGACTTAGTTATGTTGATATTTTCTTACACATAGAACACATTTACAAAGTCATATACAAATAATCACAAATATAGCTGTATGCAAAAATTAGGTAATTTCAATATAGTTTTTTTTTAAATACATTTTATAATTGTACTGATTCAATATAAAAAATTTAAAAACTTAAAAAAGATATAATACATTGTCCAACTGTCTGATGTTGAATTGTCATATACCGACAAGAAGGGTATAGGTTTATGAATTTAACAGGACTTGAAGTATATCTAAAGTCATTGGAGTATTTAATTAAAGAAACCATATGGCAGAGTCCCACATGAGTGAGATACAGCTCTCTGTCAAAATTCAGAAAGTGACATGTAAGAAATACTGAATAGAAGAATACTGTTTTCCAAATTGTGCAAGACATAAAATTTTGTTATTTACTTATCATTTGGTGCTAGTACAAATTTTACTGTTGCTATTTAATCATTTATAGCTGTTGAAAGCAACATTTAACATAGCTATTGTTAACTTTCTCACTTTGTCATGTAACTAACTAGAATTCAAATGTTAGAATCAGAAGTGTATGAGAAATGCAGGTAACTGAAAATTCAGCAAACAGGTAATTCTGCATTTTATTTTATTAAAAAGACGCACTAAATTCATTCTTAATACTCGGCCTGTAATTCAAAAGCAAATAGAGTATTTACAGTCTCTATTTTCAAGCCTTAATTTGTGTGAAATGATAAGCGCTCATAAAATTCACATTCATCAAAAGTAAAGCCAAATTTTTCTGGCTCATGTTTCAGCGTAAGAGATTCTTTATTGATTTCAGTTTGGAAAAATATGAATCATAGATACATAGTTCATATGAATCAATAGATACACACACAAAAAGAAACTCAGTGTAACAAGCTTGGCACAAGTTTATTAATAAGGTCTGAAAACTGCAATGCTGTCCATCCTTTTTTCTTCTTCGATCAACCTCAATCATTCACTTTCCACATTAATGTCATCATCACAGAATTCATTGAAAATCTTAATCAAATTTAGAATAATTTTTAAAATTCTTAGCTTGGTGAATTTTCCTTTAGGTTTGGTAACTTGTACTAATATTCCAACTCATCCAGTGCCACCTTCTGAGAGTTCATTGCTTCTCAAATATTTCTCATCCCATCTTTTCTAGATGCCAGAGAAATTTGAAATTGCTTACTAGGCTGAATCAAGGTACTATACATCCTATCGGAGCTCATTGTTATGTCTCAACAAAGTTAAGTTTGTGTAATGTTTCAGTTGGCAATTTTTCTGACACCAGTGTAGTGTTCCCAGTTGGCCTAATTAACATCAGTGTAAGGTGCCCAGTATGGAGTTTTCTATGACCTTTTTAGCCTTCTTATTGCCAAATGTAAGTGATTACATTCAGAAATTTCTGACACCAAGTAGGTTACACCTACTACTAAAGTTTTTGAGTGTTTTTGTGGATGACAATAACACAATCTTGTGTGTGAGAGTAGAGGTAAGAGGATGGAGTAGGAAATGACAAGATTCAGTTGAAGGAGTCACTCAACACAGTTAACTATACTTAAACATTTATTAGATGGTGCAAAAGTTTGTACAGTACATTACACAGCTAAGTAAGGGGCATAATGTTTGCTTTTGTGCACATTATCATCACAGAGAGAGAGTTCACAAATTTTGGTACCTTAAGAGAGTGAACTATAAATCCCACATTGAGGAGAATCAAAAATCAATCCTTGATGTCAATTGACAGTTCTGGAGAGTAGTAGCACACAAGCAGAAGGATGACAAGAAGTCCAAAGGAGGCACACAAATTAAACTGCAGATGGTAACAGCTCGCAGGCATAGATCTTAAAGGCTTGAAGAATGGACAATAACTGACTAAAATCGGCCATTCCTTGTCATATTCAAAGGTGAAAATTCCTTACAGGTCACTAAAAGTCTGGTGAAAGATGTGATAAGGTGTCACTATTGACTCTGAGAAAGCATAATTTGACACTTTCTCAAGTCAGAAAGTTGACATTTACTAGCTTCTGATGAGGTCATGAACCTGTTGTTTTCTTTTAATTTGTTCAATTGTATAATTAAGTTTAGTGTGACTTTCTATTGCATATAGATAACACTATTTAAGCCTATAGATAACACTCCTTATGTCAGCCTAGATAAAAATGTAAATAAGAGCCAAACCAAACATTTTGAATACATTACTTGAAATTATTGACATGACTCCAATAGTATGGAGGCATGAAATGTCATAAACTTGTAGATTAGTCTGACATTCCTGTGCAATCTTATATCACTGAGTTGGATTGTATTTGCTCCTGTTACTGTTGAATAATTTTGAGAACATTTGTGCAGTAATATTAAATATAGTCAAATCTCAGTTTTCAAACTTAAATTCATTCCTAAAAGTTGTTCATAAACTGATTTGTACTCAAACCAAAACAAATTTTCCCTTAAGAAACAGTAGAGTAAAGATTAATTCATTCCTGACCTTCAGAATAAAATTTTCTTTTACCTATTTAGCTGTATTTCATGCATAAAAATGCCTACAAATACAATATAATAAAAAATTATATATATATAGAAAGCAAAAATGTTCATTCACTGCCAATTGAAACTGAAACTAACTCTTTATAAAAAGAAGTGCTATAATAGAGACTCAATTCTGACTGCCTGTATAAAATATAACCAAATTAATCAAGATGGATGACAAGTATTTTATTCATACTTTCCAAAATATTATCTTTCAATTGCTTTGATTTAAATTTTAGTTTTAGTTTCGGTATAAAAACCAGTTTTAATTAACTGGCTACCTAGTATTAATAAATATTAATATTATATTAATAAATTTTTTGTTATTTAATTTGAGTCAAGCACATTTAGCACAGATTTGTGGATGTCATTTGTATTATGCAAATGTCAATTAATGGTGTTTTTATTAAATAATTTGATTTAAATTCAGTTGTGACATGTACCATTAAATGGAAGTAGTATCTTACTCGCATGTGTATTGAAATCTAATTTGAATAACAACATTGTCAATGGTTCATGTCATGATGTCTAATGAAACATGGCCACTAACTTCTGAATTGGTAGTTTCATTGTTGATTGGTCAGCCATCAACTTTCTTTGGCACAGGGAAGTACAGGGATTTGACCATCTGTGTCTCTTAATCTTGGTCAGCTCTTGTCAAGTAGCTTGTTCGACAACAGAATTATTGTATAGCAACTGGGACAAATATGGTGTTCAAAACCCAACATTTGATTGTATTATAATTTATATTTGTTGCATTTATTACAGTATTTATGTATTACTAAGTTGTAAATTTTTAATTATAGAAGTCTTCAAATTTACCAACAGCAGGGTGTCACCCACAGCCAACTTTTAGAAGAACAGAAAACCGAAAGCGGAAGTAGCTGTTATGGGGGACCACTGAGATTTAAGAATACTTGCATTTTATTTATACAGTGCAAACAGAATGGTAAAGTCTAATTATCATTACTTTATCCGATTGTCTGTCATGTTTACTTAACGTATAAACTGTCAGTTTTGAACGAGCGCCTGGATTCCCGTGTGGATGACATGATTAAAATGGGACTGATCGAGGAAATTCAGGGTTTTTACAAAGACTACAGAAATTATACTACATCCAATAACATGTAAGAATGTTTCTGTAAGTTACTTCATTTTGTTACAAAAATAAATGTGATTCTTCTAATTATTAGTCTGCCGGATTACACTTACGGCATCTTCCAGTCAATAGGATTTAAAGAATTCCACAAGTATCTAATGCTTCCTGATGATGAGAAAGAAACAGAAGCTGGAAAGAAATTATTTGCAGAAGGTAAGGATTTCTTTAAATTACAAAAAAAGAAATTAAAAGTTGTTCATATAATAGAAAATTTCAAATTTGCTTACATTGTGAGAAACTGATTTGTACAATAGCTTGGCAACTCTTACTTAAAATCTATCTTGGCACTTAGGAAAATTTACAATATTTCACAAAGTGTATCATGCATTGCTTGCTATTTCGAATGCACATGTATGCACTCTGTATATACCATAGCCTACAAAGAATAAATAAGCCTTCTCATTATGCCCCATTCCTTGTCACCAATTTTGTAATTTTTTCCACTAGAGGTACTGCATGCCCTCCTATTATCAATTTATCATTGCAGAGTTTTGTGTAAGTTTGATAAAATAGGAAAATTTATATAAAATTATAAACAGTTTTTACTACTGTTATATACAACAGAGGAAAGTATGGCTATTGGTTCAAATAAGACCCCCCCCCAAGGTTTTAATATTTTCGTCTTGGGATCTTAAAATGTTGAGAAATGCAAAAAAATTTACAGGTTTTTCTGTATGAATGGATGTTAGTGAGTGAGTGTGTGTGATACAATTTGTTACCCTCTTTGAAGCTTAATATCTCCTGTGTTTTATGTTGAAAATGTCTGAAATTTTGTAGGGAAGTTTATGTATTAGAGGATTGATGCTAAAAGATTTTGGTAGTTAAAGGAAAATCGTATGTCATATCTTGAGTACAGTTGGACTTAATGGTAATTTTATTCATTATTAGCTTTTACAAATTTTTATAAAACCTATCCCTACCCTCAAAATTAAGTTTTTTGCCATTTTATAGTAATTAAAAATATAAAAACTTTTAATAATAGAATATCATAACAGATGGTGCCACAAGCAGTTTTAAATGTTACTGAGAAAGTTAAGCAACTTGTTGCTGGATTTTTACTTTTAGTGACTAAAGTGGCAAGCTGTTGTGTTCCATATTGCACTGAAACTCAAAAATAAGCCACTGGATGTTAGTTTTCATGAATTTCCTAATGATCTAACAAAGGAAAAAGCATGGGTCAGAGCTGTAAGTAGGAAGGGCAAGAAGACAACTTGTAAGTAACAATGATCAGACAAATGCTATTAATGTTATCCAGTCAATGCATAAAATATTAACAACTGAAATTGTTAAGACCCCTAACAGCCAACACCAAATCAACTTGTAGTATCTTTATGTCAGCAAGCAGAACAAGCAGTTCACTCATCTATACTGATAACACCACTAGTTTTGCATCCGCCCTAGTTCATTTGCTACTAAACCAAGCCTAAATGAACTAGAAGAATTACTAGAAAAAGAGTTGAAGTACATAGAATGCGAACCTTCAGAATGTACTGAAACAAGCATTACTTCAGCTAGTACTCCATACATTGCTGGGTATATTGTGAAAATTATTGAAGAAAAGGTGGACTGAGAAAAATGCTTACAAACTATCTATTACTTTTTATTGAAATAAAGAACTTTACATATGGACTTCATGAGAAAATAATATGGCTGACTTGCATGCAGTTTGTTTACAAGAAAAAACATTTACTCTTCGGCTGCGTGACAGAAGGCACCTTGTCATATTTTTTCTTTTTATTATAACACTTCCTCCAAAAGAAAAAATAAGACTTGCTTAATAATTACATGGTTATAACCTTCATATAGCAATTTTTTTCTTAGTAAATCAAATCAGACACGTTCAAGCGGCTTCGTCAGCAGATCAGCTAACTGGTTCTTTCCATTGATGTGCTCCAATTTGAGTTCACCATTTAAAAATCTTTCGTGTACATAAAAGTGTTGAACCTTGATATGTTTGGACCATTGATGAAATTTTGGATTCTTTGCTAGCTTTATGGCACTTGCATTGTTAATATAAAGTATTGGGGGCTGCTCTGGCATTTCAATCAATTCAGACAATAAACGTAGCCAAATTAATTCTTTTGTTCTTTCACTTGCTGAGATAATTTCTGCTTCAGTTGTGGAAGTTGTCACAGCTTTTTGTAATTGGCTAGTCCATGATATAGCTCCACCCGAGAATTTTGCAATGATTCCAGTTGTTGAATGTCTTGTCTTTTTGTCACCAGCAAAATCAGAATCACTGTAGACTTTCAGTTCTTCTTCTTTATTATAAATGATGCCCCAGTTCATACTACCTTTCAAGTACCGAAATATACGTTTTACCCAATTCCAATTTTGAATAGTTAGGTTCTCTGTAACTCGACCAGCTTTATTCACTGCAAAGGTGATATCTGGACAAGACACTGTTGCAAGATACATGAGACAGCCCACTGCCTCGTTGAGATCACTTTCTTCACAGCTGAATCAAATACAGTCTCAACTACTGTTGAGACTGCATTTGATTCAGCCATTTGGAATCTTTCTAATATTCTTTTTGTGTAATTTTCTTGACTTACTATAATTGATCCATCTTCATATTGTTTTATTTTCATTCCAAGAAAATTGTCAAGAGACCCCGTCGTCATATTAAATTCTTGTTGCAGAGCTCTCAAAAAATCAGCAATCTCTTTCCTGTTGTTGCCAACAATAAGACCACGTTACACCACTGCCTTATCTACCTACACAACCAACCCGGATATTCACGCAGAACTATCCAATGCCAGATTAATAAATACCGTGTTTCCCTGAAAATAAGACAGTGTCTTATATTAATTTTTGCTCTGAAAAATGCGCTAGGTCTTATTTTCAGGGAATGTCTTATTTGTTCCAGAAAGAAGAATTCACATTTATTATTGAACAAAAAATTCCCAAGTCGAACTTAGACGAGAGTGACATATATCCGGTGTGTCGAACTGTCGCCTTTTTATAGCGTCAACATCGGACTCGATGACCAATTAGTGCTTACTGAATTGTAGCACTATGCAAATGTAATGTGGCGTGTTCCCGGCCGACCAATTAGCCATCACCAGCCGTAACGTTATGCAAATCTGTGATTCCCAAGCCATAGTCTTATGCAAATCATGCCGTGTGGCATAATTGTCTGCTGACCAATCAGTGGCTGTACTTTCAAAAAGCCAACGGCCACTTTCAAACATCTGTCGATGACCGTTACGACTAAAAAATACTTCGCTAAATCTTACTTTCAGGGGGAGGTCTTATATTTTGCAATTCAGCAAAATCTGTGCTAGGTCTTATTTTCGGGGAAACACGGTAGAGCTTTTCATATGGACCACATCAGAGTCCTTGAAGCCCTGGAAATTTACAAAGCTGGCTGGACAGGGAGAGGTATAAACACCAAAGATGGCAACGCACTTTCCTATGCTTGGCGCTACGTATGCGAAGAACAAGAAAACGATGATGATACGTAACACGCGCATGAATTCGAATATTTTAAAGCTAAACGTTCATTCTAAGAATGGAATCCAATTGTCCTTTTAACCTGAAGCAGACCTCGACTGAGGCCGAAAATGTTTGTTTTTATGAATAGTTAAGAAGTACCGGACAATAAAGGTTTAGTAAGTACGATTTTATGCAAAATACCAGTATTCGGATTAGAAGATTTGTGGCCATCATCTACATAAATTGTGATGTAGAGTCGCTTTTTATTCTGGTTTCGATAAAAAAGATAAGGATCTGCAATACTGTTTTGAAAACTTGCTTTCTTCATAAATCCGATGAATCGTTTATTCCAGCAATGCGGTGCCTGCTTAAGCCCATACAGACTTTTTTCAGGAGACATACCCGACTGGTACCATACCAGCCGGGTATGTCTCCTGAAAAAAGTTTGAAACTTTCTGGTTGTTCCAAATACACTTTCTCTTCAAGTATGCCATTCAGGAAAGCTGTCTTTACATCAAACTGTTCCAATTGCGTATTCTTTGCAGCTGCTACCTCTAACAAGGTCTGAATGATGTCATAGCATGCAACAGGACTAAATGTTTCCTCATAGTCAATTCCTGGTTTTTGTACATAACCTTTTGCAACTAACCGAGCTTTGAAATGAGTGCTTCCATCGTTTTTAGTTTTCTTGTGCAAACCCAACAATTTTTCAAAACTTGTGCATTCTTCAGACGTTCAACTTTACACGTGGACTTCACGAGAAAATGACATGGCTGACTTGCATGTGATTTGTTTACAAGAAAAAATGTTTACTCTTCTGCTGCATGACAGAGGGTGCCTTGTCATATTTTCTCTTTTTATTATAACACTATCTCTGTCCAATAGTCCATCTCTCCTTTACTGGCCCTCATCAATGGAAAAGACTGAGGTGGATTGAGATATCCAAAGCCAAAATTTGTTCTTCTCTTAAGAAGAGTTGAATATGCAGCATGCAAGGCTACAGATTACTTGCTACACTATTCACAAATATTGAAAATGTTGAAAATATGAAAATGATTGGTCTTTACCATACCTGCAAAAAAATCCAATTTTGCAAGGATGTGGTAATCGCATCAGTACAGTAGCTAGTCTAATACTAGAAGAATTTCTCCGGCCTTATATTCAAGATTATGTATTTAACCTGACAGATAAGCATGGCTGCAAAATTAAAACAGCTGGAAAGGGTAAGAATCCTTACCAGCTGTTTTAATTTCACTGCTAAAGGGAAGAGATGTTACCCAATCAAGAAAAATTATAAAAGTATGTAATCAAAGTAATATTAAAAAGTCATATTATTGCTGTACTGTTTATAAACACAGAAATAAAATACAAATTACCAGTGCTAAAATATAATTTCTTTATTTTAATTTTTTGGATATGTCATAAAAAAATAGTTGGTGATAATGTTTAGTAAACCTTAACTTCTTTCTGAGATTAGTTGGTATCTTTTTCAGTACCTTTAATAAGCAGGGAGTGTATATGAAATTTGATCAAAATATATTTATTATTAGATCAAATTGATAAACTTAAGTTATTGTTTCAGGACTTATGTCCACTTTTTTCAGATATTAACGATTTTAGAGTTTAGTAGCCTACACACTTATCAAATGTTTGCTGAATAGATTGCAAGTAATGCCATCCAAGAGGCTTGTTTACTTTAGCAACGATAAAACTTCCCATATGAAGGAGAAAAGGCTTGTTTGTTCTTTGTAGGCTATAGTAGAGGAGAAGGTGGTATTATGGAACACTGCGGGTATTATGGAACCTGTAGCGGAATGTGGCTGAACTGAACTAGGCAGACATCCATAACAAGGGGAAAACCCGTTTTACTTCAATTAAACGGTTGTTCGCATTTAATCAGCAAATTTGTTTTTTTCAAAATTCGCAAGTTTTGAATGCTAAGTGAATTTAATTATTTTTAAAATATAAATCGCGTAGTTGTAGGTTCACTGGTGCATGTATTCCGTTCCAGAGACTTAGGGATACATATTAATCTGTGTGGATGTTCACGTTTTTTAAATTTTGGTCTCGACAGACATAAGTTAATTCGAGATGGCGATGCATGAAATACGGACCCCATTGGTGCTTTTACAGTAATATGGAACTCAACTCCTCCGAACTTTCTATTTGCAAGCAGACATTCCTCCAGAGCAATTTGTGAAAAAGACACTAGGTAGAAAGCCAATTCTTCCCGAGAATATCGAAAAAGAGCTGCTGGAATATATATTGTTGATGGAGGTCATATTTTTCTATTATAAAAGCATTTTTGCGATAAAATACATTGGAGTAAATAATTTGGTAATTATTTAACATTTGTTGTCCTTTCCTATTTGTTTTTGGCTACATTAAAGCATTTTTTTGAAAATATACAGTAAGGTTCCATATTACCACCCGATTTTCTCTAAGCCTACTTTCGGACTTTTTGTACAAAAGCCTTCAAAAACCATACTTATAATTACACTAGCGAAAAATCCAATTAGGAACATTTAGTTTACTAGTTACCAGTACTTTTCGCACAAAAAATGTGGGTGTAGTTACGATACCTTGTTTACAATTCACTAAAATATAATTGGGGTTCCATAATACCACCTTCTCCTCTATATACAAATACAGTTGTCCCTTGATAATCCGACAGGTATGGGACCAAAGGGATGTTGGATTACCAAAAGTGATTACATATTTGGCATTGTTTTGCTAGCAGTAGCCTACAATATTCCCTACTCCAACTGTTCAAACAGAACTGCTCACAGAAAACACACGAAATGTGTGTCATCATGTAAGAATTGGGTGGGGAGATTCATGTCGCGATATGCTTCTGTACAAGCAGAGACATAACGGGGACAGGGACTATGGTTACCTTGATGGGAGGTGTGTTGGACTACAAAACGTCAGACTATCAAGGGACAACTGTACTGGAAAAAATTGGAAAATAATATGTTCCATATTTGTGAGATGGTCTAACAATGCTTGACAAATATGATCATTGGCAGTCTTTTGACTCATCAAGATTTGTTCCAAAACTGCATAAGGTGATCTTGGAACAAATCTTGATGGGTCAGGTATCATATGTCCTTGAATTTCAAGCATCAGATAATCATTTTTGTTTGAAATATATATAAGAAGCATATTTGACTTAGCATATCTATTTTCTATACTTTCAATAGGTTTGTTTATGATGAAGTTGGTTACAAAACGCTATTCGAGGAAACAACTCAAATGGATAAGAAACAGGTTTTTGAAACGTAGGAAGTTTTTAAATATTTTATCTTAAATGTTATCTTAAATTTATTGACTATATAATAGACTATATTACAGTCTAATTGTGTTTTTACAGAAGAGCGTAATGCTCCTCCAGTTTATGGTTTGGATGCCACCAACTTAAGTCTGTGGAAAGAGAAAGTCTTAGATCCAGCTACCATTGTCGTCAATGCACTCCTTAAAGTAAGTACACAAAAGCAATGTGGATTTGAATTTTTTATGTTAAATTGATTACAATATTCTTTCAATAGATCGTTCTTCGAATGAGTGAGTGTGGAATCAGTTTTAACTTGATGTAATGAAAATAGAGTGGTTAAAAATAAAATAGTTATTATAAATAAAATATTATACAGTAGAGCATCGATTATCCGAATGTCGATCAACTGAAATGTCAATTAACTGAAAGCTTTCCAGTCGGCAAATTTAAATTTCTGCTAGTGCTGTGGCACTGCAATCTTTGTCTATGTCTTGGCTACTCCAATATTATTTTTGTTGGTGCACATGTTTTAGCTGGCAGCACTGAGAGGGTACTTAAGGCCTTACATGCCAGGATTTGAACGAATTTCAACGTGGGACAGGTTAATATATTTTTATCGTGCATAATCGGTTATCCAAAAAAGTGATTTTCCGAACAACCCCAGTCCCCAATTGATTCGGATAATCGATGCTCTACTGTAATTTGACATCAAATTATTATAATTATTTTATTGTCATAATTTGACATCAAAACTTTCTTCTGTTTAGGAACATAGACCTCCCATTGAACCTTTACCAATCATACAGACACAAGCAAACATTAAGCAGTTATTTTTTTGTGACTTGTGTCAGAAGAGTGTCGTCGGTACAATGGTTTGGGAAAGTAAGTTGAATTTCAGAATAATTTAGGTTCTAAAGTTGTCAACCCTTTTGTTGTATTTATAATAAACATGTTTCATAAAAATCCACAATAAATACATACATACATACATACAGGGTTAGAGATATTACTTGACTCTAGCCTGTTACGAATTTTACATCTTCAGATGAGGCTAGATAAAGCCAGGCTTATCTTCTGATTATGTAGAACTATTCTTTGTAAATCCTAGGATGACAACCATGTGTCCTCTTGTAGATTTTTACTGTAGTGGTTTGACCCAAAATAGCCTGTGCTGCCTTAATTTGGTGGCCTAAGATGCTCAGCAAGGACTGTCACAGTTGCAAACTTTAGTGTATTTTATGCATTGTTGTTACCGGGTCATGTTCATATACCTAGATAGTTCTTTACACAGTCCCCATCAAGTTCTATTGGGTCTTCTGTGCATCCTGCTTACTCAGACTAAGAAGGAAGGGCTCACATTTAGTGTACTGATCAACCTACTTCTAAACAAAGTACTGTTTGATATTTGGCTCTACTGAGGAACATGAAGGAAGCCCTCTTTTTTTCATGAACTCCAACAATGTTATCTTGGTTTAATATTTGACAGGCATTATCTGGTCTCCATTCCCACTTGCATTGACTGATATAAATAGGGTGACCTTTCATTCACAGGATATAGCTGGTTTACACGATGGAGCCAAAAATGATAGTGGTACAGGTGCTGGCGTTTGTGGTAATGATTGGGCAGGGGCTTTTTTTTTGTCCCACTAAGTAAATACTCTACTGTGCTTTAAACAGTTTCTAGCTTTTATTTTTTATGTTTGCACTATTTTATGTAGAGGTCCCTTAATTAGAGTATCTCCATTGTTTCTGACAGTTGAGCTGCCATAAAGGAATTTGAGTCTTGCAGGTTACTTCTGTACTTGTTTGGAAGTGTTGCATCTCAGTAAGCTGACTACTTAAGAGAAGCTTTCTTTTGGGGTTCCAGAAAACAAGGATATTGCTGGCAATGTAAGTACTGATCTTTGGACCAAACAGAGAGTTTCACATTCCTTTGTAAGGTCCAAAACAACTCTTGGAATGATCAGAAGTAGTCCATTGTTTTACAACTCGAAAAAAATAAGAAATATTACACAGTGGAGGTTAACTCCTAGTTTAAAACAGAGAAATATCTTTGCCTACCTTCCTCTCTGGATGATCTATGAGGATGAGTCAAAAAGTTGCAGCTGACAAGAACTTTTCATTGATAAATGTATTTACATGAAATCTGGTGACAACATTGGTAATACTTCTGGTTACAAGACCTAGCAGATTTGTTGACATGGCTGTAGAGGTTGTGATCTATTTTCACAGTTGTGAAAGATGTCGCATCATTTGAATGTAGTGCCCAAATTAGATACTGTACTTTTCATCTTTAGTATAGATGGGTATAGTGTTAAACTTCCTCACTGTTTACAGAGCAAAATTCTTAACGATAGAGATTTATAGAGCTACATTTTTCCCAATAATAGTTTTTGGTATGCTAAACAAATACTTTGCCACTGTTTTAAAGTTATGTTCTTTATCAAAATATTTGTATTTCTGGTGTACACCATTACACCATTTAGTTAGTTGTTGTTCTAATTCTAAATATGAAAACTTATTATCAATTGTTCGAGCAATTCATTAACAGGTAAACTGCAAAATCTTGTATGCTGACGCACCAAAACACATTTTTAAAGTTACGAGAGAGTTTTTGTGTATCTAAAATGCAACAAAAGGGTTACGATCAAATTAACAGATTATACTAAACTTTACGATTTTCAGAGCATCTGAAGTCACGAAAGCATGCAAAAATGAAGAAGAGAGTGGCCATGGAACAACAGAAATGACCAAAAACTTCATCTATATACTTTACTAAAAATATTTTGAACATTACTCAAAACAAAACAATTATAATGTTATAAAATCCAGAATGGACCATATTCTGAAAAATTAATTTCCATTTGGTTCTTTTAGTGTAGAATCCAATGAAAAAGTCTTTGATTATATAATTTATTCCCCGATGCCAAAATATCACCATTACCTCAAGACATAATCAAAGGCTGCTTTTATTTTTGGATCTATTTTTAATTCAACAAAATGTTTTGTGGAGTGAAAAGGTGTTAATAATAATACAAATTAAACCAGTTATTATTATTGTCTTAATTTAAAGTTTTGCATTCTAAAAAAAATAAATACATTATATGCAGTGTTTTGGCACATTACCCATTTGAGTGCTTACAAAAAACTTGTTCATTGATTTCCCGAGTCAGACATTTAGTGGGTTTTTGTGTGTATGCTTCATCTCTTGCATTATGTAAAGAATACTTGATAGTTACACAAGCTGTTTAAAACAGTTTTTTTTTTTTTTGTTTCTAACGGAATCAAACATTTTAGATAAAGATTTTTAGTCTTTCAGCAAAGTTGCAGATGTTAAATCCCTATGCTATTTCATTGAGACCTACCAAGTGCTTTGTTTTATTTGAGTAGAAGTTTTAATTTGCCTAATGACTGCATAACAAAATATTCTGGAGATTATTGAACTATAATAAATTGATTATCAATTTTTGTAATGTGTGTAGATTTTCATGTCATCTATCCTAAAATATATTTAAAAAAATGGCAATCAACACATGAAAGTAAAAGTCAAAATTATTCAGTTTTGTAAGATGTTTTTATTACTATGGGATATTCAGCTTAAAAATCACACACGCCTAATTTATACTTAAAAGTTAGTTTCCATTTACAGTTTTGTGAAAGACCGTCTCGCGTTTAGACTTTTCTCGCCATTGCTTTCGAAATTTTTTTGGTGCCGCCTCCCTTCTACGGAAAAAAATGTACATCCTGTCGCGAGCGTTCTCTCAATTGTCTCTTCGTCCCGGACCCAGGTTGGATCTTCTGACGGCCCTCTTGATCCTGCGGGTAGGCTGGGCGGTTCCGCTGGGACTTGCCCTGAAATTGAAGAGTTTGAGTTTAGGAGCCCCAATTGCAAACAGAATTCGGTCAAGTACTCACGTGAAAGAAAACGGGGTTCCCGGTGAGGCCACGTTTGTGGCAAAGTTAAAACTGGGTGCCGACGTGGACGGCGTGCTGAAGAAGTTCTGTGAAGGGGTAAACGAAAAGTTGAAACTCGGTTTGGGTTTCTCCTGATCGTTTCCCTTGGGTGCGGCGAACGTCTTCTGCTCGGCCTGGGCCGGGTGGAAACTGAATGCAAAAGACTGCTTCGCCGCCTGGTCGCCTCCGGGCGGTTTTTGTTCTTGACTAGCACCGAAAGTAAAATTCGATTTTGCAATATCTGCAGGTTTTTGTTCCTGTAAATGTGCAATTATCAAAATTAATATTTAATATTCTTAGAAGAATGGTGACTAAGAACTATAACTTTGAAAATACACTACTTATATTTGATGACTACCAACAACAACATATGTCCCGAAAGCACTGCTTGCCAATTTTAGAGAGGTTGCGGCCAACGTTTTCAATGTGAAAACGTATATGTCAGACGTTCAGCACCACCTTCCTGTATACCTAAAGTTTGAAAATGGCATTTGTAATGTCAGTGGAATCATGCTCGACGTTCCAAACGTCACTGTCAAACTTTTGGGCTTACAGGAAGGCAGCGCTGAACGTCCGACATACATGTTGTCACGTTGAAAACGTCGGCCGCAACCTCTCTAAAATTGGCAAGCAGTGCTTTCGGGACATATATGTTGTTGTTGGTAGTCATCAAATATGTCCCAAAAGCACTGCTTGCCAATTTTAGAGGTTGCGGCCGACGTTTTCAACATGACAACATGTATGTCGGACGTTCAGTGCTGCCTTCCTGTAAGCCCAAAAGTTTGACAGTGACGTTTGGAACGTCGAGCATGATTCCACTGACATTACAAATGCCATTTTCAAACTTTAGGTATACAGGAAGGTGGTGCTGAACGTCCGACATACACATTTTCATATTGAAAACGTAGGCCATAGCCTCTCTTTTACCTTTCAATCAGATGAAAAAACTTTTTCCATCATACAATATTATATGGGTTTGTACTTAATGACTTCCTTTTAAGTAAGCACTTGAGTATACATGTCTCAATTTCAGAAATGGAAAGAACAAGATACTGTCCAAACCCCATTAACCATAGTTTTAATGAGGAACAGTACATAAGAAATCTACTTACCTTTTTATAAATATTTTTATTAGTGATTCAAAACTAAATGGGTGAACTCGTATGCAATGAAATTTTGTGCCAGATCAGCACAATTCTCTCGAGTCTGCGTCCAAGCAATGCTTGTTTGGAATACTTAAACTAAGGATTCTCACACTTGTTTTTGCTTATAAAGATTTTGCAAGGAATAGAGAAGATTCAGTTCATGTGTCAATCTTCAGAGAATGGACCAAATATAGTAAATTGAATAAAACTCATACTACATGTATGGTTGAATTTTGGAGTTAAACTAAACTACAGTACTTTTTAATCCAATCCATTCTAAAGAGATCTTTGGATTAAGAAACCATTAAGGAAGTCAAGAACTCTACACAAAACTTTTACAACAGCAAAAGGTCATTTCCCACTGGTCTCTATATTTAATTTGGTTACAAATTTTGATTTTATTTTACTGAGCAACCAGATCATTTTAGAATAAAAAATATACTTGTTCTAGTGAAAGACAACATTTGATAAATTTCTAGACTTTAGATGAATCCTTTGTAAAAATTTTCTGAAAATTACCGCCCATAACAAGATACTGTGCAGTAGAGTACACATATGAGTATAAGTAGTAGTTGCATTCTGATTTTAGTGCCATATTATTATAAAAATGTTGCCAACACCCACAGAACAATCAATGCTAAGTGGAGAACATTTTCAAAATACAGTAGAGCGTCAGTTATCCGAAACAATTCCAGTCAGCAAATTTAAATTTTTGCTAGTGCTGTGGCACTGCAATCTTTGGCTACTCCAATATTTTTTTGATTGATCTGTGTATTTTAACTGGCAGCACTGGCAATTTTGTGTGTCATGCTGAATCGAACATTTTTGATACTAGATTAACTTCTAAGAGCCGCCGCAAACTAGCGCTTTGCGATAGCAAAACGCTAGCACAACCGATGACGTCGAAGGCTCTACCCCTTTCTTCTTGCCCACACTATTTTTCCTTCGCTAGCGCAGCGATACGAGAGTACGCTCGCTGTTCACAGAATTCAACAACTAGAGCATTTACGCTAGCAAGAGAGAGCAGGGAAGACGGATGAGTACATTAACATGTCACATATCGAAAAATAAATAATAGAATTTTATCGATGTACGTAAATTACATGATTAATACATTCAGTATTGAAAAGAAAATACTATAACCGTTGTATGTAAATACAACCGTTGTATGTAAATACAACGGTTATAGTTTTCGGCTAGTTAAGCCTAACTAGGCTTAACTAGTAAACATGTTTTTTCCATGCTGTTTCAAAGTTCGGAACGAAAACTGACTGATTACAAGTACAGTGGGTGATCGGTTAACGAACAAATCGGATAACGAACACTTTCGCAAAAGATTTTTATGTTCGGACAACGAACACATGATCGGATAACGAACACAAGAAGCGACGTAAATTAATGAATACCGATTGGTCTTCCCTTGTCTTCAGGCAACAATTCGAAACTTTTCGGAGTGTGGGAGACGTCGACATCAACGCTCAAGCCGATATATATCGATCGGATATTATTCCAATATTTGGCCAAGACATAGCCAAATATTGTAGCGCCACATCACTAGTGGACATTTGAATTTGCCGACTAGAACGCGGTCGGTTAACCGATGTGACGGTTGATCGGGGGTCAGATAATCGATGCTCTACTGTATATGCATTTAAGTTACTAATTGGCAAAATGCGATATTCCAAAGTAAAATGGAAAGATTCTTACCTGAAGCGTGCCAAATCGGAAGACATTGCCAGAGGGTTGCTCAGATTTCGGGGAATTGAACTGAACTGCTGGTAGGGCCTGAAAGCCAAATCCTTGTTTCGGCTGATTGTTGTCATGTCCAAAAGTCGTGGTCGATGAATTGTTGCCAAAATTTGAGAAGGATACTTGAGAGGTTGTGTTTGGAGTGAATGGGTTTGGGGGACTGATCACATTCTGCTGCGTTGAGACAACAGAAAATGGCACGGGTGAGCCAAATGTAAAGACATTGTTGACTGTGGTGGGTTTGAAGATGCTGCTTGTTGTGACAGCAGTAGAACTGAATGAAAATGTTGATATCGGCTTCTGGGTGACATTTGTGGCCTCTTTGTTCTCACTAGTAGTTTCCACTTTCTCGGGTAAAATAGTATCTAAGAAAATCAATTTTTATAGAAGTTAATAAATTTCTTTAAGATTAGACAATAGGAAAATTCTCTAGGATATATACAAAATAAAAATGCACATGATATTATATTTACTATTTATTGCATTAATTAGTTTTTTATTAGACTTTAAAACATTTAATTTAGATTTATATATTCAGTTTAGAATTAACTCAAGATTCCAAAATCATATTTTTCTAATTTTATTTCTAATCATAAAAATAGTAATATAATATTACTATTACCTCTGTTAGAAATATCAACAATCTTTGGTGGACTTGTAAAACTAAATGAACATCCAGTGTTTGAATTTGCTGAAGCAGTTGGATCTTCTGCATTTATTTTTGGAGGTGATGCCGCAGTGACTGAAACAACTGGCTGAGTTTTTCCAAAACTGAAAATGGATACCGTAGTAGTGGCAGTGCTCAGAGCCAGAGTACTGGCAGGAGCAACAGATACAACTGGAGCAACTGAACTGACAGCTGGAGTAGTCAGAGATGACTGAGAAACTGGACTCTTCAATGAGGCATAACTGGCTGCTTCACTCTTTGCAGTATTCAACTGATTTCCAAACAGTTGTGGCACCAACTTGGGTGGTTCAAAAGCTGGAAGAGACTTGCTACCAAAGCCAGTAGTCTGTGGATTCTCCGAACTTCCAACTCCAAATTTTATTTTTCCATTTGTTAAATTATTGCATTCACTATTGACCTGAAGGGATTTTCCACCAAATGTAAAGGCACTGGATGACGTGGAAAAATTCGAAGCATTGAATTTAAAACCTTCAACTGGTTTTGAATCGGTTGCCTTGCTTCCAAATGTAAATTCCTGCGACTGCTTACTAGTGCTAAGGCCACTGGAAGGAGTCATTCCAAATTTAAATCCCGAATTGTTGTTGTTGAATGCCGTATTTTCCAGAGAAAAGGAAGAATTCTGTTTTTTGTTGCTTCCAAATTTAAATCCGGAGAACAGCTGTGTTGAATCTGAAATTATTAATATCAGAAGCTTAATGTTTGAAATGTTAAAGGAATAGAAGTTACATAATCATTAAAGTAACATCTTTGTTATTACTGAAAGATTTTCATTAATTAAAATTAGAAATATGATACTGACACACTTCTATTGTTATCACTTTTCAGTTTACTATTTAATTTGTACATTACAGTACAGTATTAACAAAATTACAACATGTTTAGATTTAGTAGTCCAGCTGTAATTGGCTATTAAAGATATCAATGCATTTAATAAATATGAAAAATACATAACAGCAAGCACATCATAACATTTTGTAATAAATAATAAAGTTATGTAAATTGTAAAAATATCAATACTTCAACAGACCAATAGTAATGTAGATATTATTGACCATTACAATTTATATATTGAATCTATTAATGTCGTTATTCTGCTGCCAACAATGCAAATCAGATTTCTCGACATTTTTTGTTTTAATTTTTCCTTAAAATATTTTATAACTTAATTTTTTTAAAACAAAACATAAGAATTCAGATTGTTCAAACAACATTATTTTTACTCCATTTCTCACAGTCACTATTAAAAAAGACTTTAAATAATGAGTCCTTGAACTGATGCTTTTTAATGTACAATCAAACCCTGATCATACATTGAAAATTATGGTGATCGAACCTTGATTTGGTCACTGCAATTTATTTTCCTCCAAAAGTAGTAAGATCAACTGTGATGCTGTACTGAAAGACCTCAAACAATAAGAATTATATAGAAAAATGTGTGTAGACCTCATTGTTTGCCTTATAAATCACTTGATTTGATAATAAAGCATGCTATCATTTGTAGAGGGTGACTGGATTTTATTTACTGAAATGTAATGTGTTGTTATACTCACATTAATTGATCACATAGTCCTTTTGCATATTCAATATGTTTTCTCTGGGTTTTGCTTATTGTTTAACCTTGCTTGTTCAATCAAATCTTGAGCAATCTCATTTGCTTTTTTCCATAGAGAGTAATTCCAAGAAAGATTAAAAATCTTGCAGCTGAAGTCATCTAAAACAATTACTAGAAAGTTGGCCTACAGGTTTTATGTTAGATGAAATAATTACTGGGCACCAATAACTTACTACTCATCAGTGCACTTCCTAAGAACAAATTTAACAGAGACATGGTCTCTCCATGTCCTAAAGCCATTCTGATATATATCTATCACAACTGGATCCACACAAGATGTTTTATCATTGTGAAATATAACTTTTTTCTACATCACATACATGCAACTTGGTTTAATCATATATCCAACAGATGAGGAATAAAATTGGAATTAATTATATGCAAAACAAAGAAAAATATCCCCACCAAATGATAATTTGCTCAACTTTTTTTTTTATTTGGCTATCTTGAATAAAAACTCTCAGCATGGTAGCTGGTCTATAGAAAAAAGTGAACAGGAAAGATCCATTGAGATTTAATTAAACAAGCATTTTGAGACTGGTTATCATTGTGCATTGCCATTTTCAGAGCACAGGAAAAACAGATCAAACACAAAATCAATGACTGTGTAAAATTGCTCTCTGTAATAATTCACAAAAACTGAATGAATGAAGGTGGTACTAATTAGGAATGCACTATATTGAAACTCAATTGTACTTTTGACAAAATCTCTTTAACAGTACAAGATAGAAATATGATTTAGGCATCAAGTTTCTACTCTCTATGCCTAAAATACATTTCAAGATTTGTATATCCAAATAATAGTTTCTGTAATTTCTTTATGACAATTATCAGTTGGCATTTGAAAATATATATTTTACAGAAATGTTTTGGGAAAGAAAAATACAATTGATTTATAGTACCATAGTTTTTATCATATGGTAAACTATAGATTATAATTGAGTTAATTGTGAATTTAACATTTAAATTATGCACAAATATTTATTGATTTTTAAAATTTTTTAAATAGAATTTCTTTAATCTTCTCTATCTTCACACTTTTTTAAGAATGGAATAATTTAGAAATTCTGTTACTATATCAATTAAATCTGAAATAAATTAGTAACATTGAGACTCAAATTAATTTTTCTGTTCTCAGTAATCTTAACCTGTAACAATATGTTTTTACTTCCAAAAATAATCATTTGGTTGAGAACATTTAATTTCAGCATTAGGCAATTATTTTTATAATTTTAAGTTAAACTTTCTTTAACTTAACAACATCCATAATACATTTCTATTAAATATTATTACTTTACACTTTAAACCTAAATGGGAAGTAAGTATGTTTTTATGTAACAAAATAATAAAAATTAGAACAAACATTTAAATTTTTTGTATATTCACCTGAAGGTTTAGATGTAACACATCTCAAAGTTTCACAAGCAAAACATCTTAATGCACTGCTAGGATTCTGAGCAAAACAGACGTCACAGTCCCAAGAGTCAGGTGTTGATTTAAATTTCGTGTCAAATTTAGTTGTCGGTGCCTAAAAATGTTTTTGTCATTAAAAATTTGAATTCAAATTCCATTTTAATTGATGTTAATGTAGACTTTTACCTGTTCCGCAACGGGTGATTTCTGATGGGGGTTTGGCGTTTCACACGCCAAACATTTTGAATCTGTCTGTTCATTAAAGATCATACAGACGGGGCATGACCAACTTCCTGATGGTGGTTTAAACTTATCTCCAAATTCTAGAAAGAGAAAATAGTATTGTTTCATAAACTTAGCAAATATTTTTTTTAAATACAGACTTATTTTTATGAAAATGTATTTAAAAAAGTGTATATAATTTACCTTGCCAAGAACTAGTAGTGGCTTTAGTTGAAGGTATAGAAAATGAGTTCTTGTTATCAGTTTTTTCTTCTTGTTTAGAAGATTTATCAATCGTCTTTGAAGTGATATTAGATTCTAATTTTGTATCTATATGGAATAAATTTATCAAAAAGTTTTGAATGTTAAATTGTTATAACATGTTAATTTATGAGGTAGCAAGAGAGAAATTTTTATTTACAGTTATTCAGAATCTCCAAAAAGAAAGCTACCATTTTAAATTGCTGTAATTAAGTTAATTATTACCTGAAATTGATATAATATACATCAAAACATACAAAACTTAGTTTTCTATCTATCCACTACAATCCCACAATGTATGCACCTTGTGTCACATGGCACACATTCAGTTAACAGTCAAATTCTCCCACACTTGCTGTAGCATATTGTTGTTGTCCCACAATAGCCACAATTCAATTCCGCAGTTTCTTCAAATTCCTGGACAATGATAGTGCACAGACAATGTTATTGACATAGTCCCAAAGAAAGGAAATGCATGGTGTTGGATCTGGGAACCTGAATGGCCACTGAAACAACATACTGTCGTTAGGCTTATAACAGCAAATTCATCACCAAGAAAGCACACAATGCAAACTTCACAGATTTCCCTATGAAAATGAGGTAGGTCACCATTTTGCATGAAGATGTAATCATCAGAATCATTCAGAATGGAAGATCTGTACCAAAATCACTTTATTGGTTTATGAATTAAGAAAAAAAGCAAAAGAATCAACAGAATCTTGATCCAGTTTTGAAGAATGTGCAGGTACGGGTCCCCAGGGACTGTTGCTTCCACAACGAAGAATGACCCACATGCATTTGTAGAAGAAATGGTAAGATAACATTAATTTTTGATGAATCATGTTTGTGCTTCACCATTACATGTTGACTTGCTGTGTTTTTGGCATGTTATAACGATTCACTATTCTGCTTAAGTAAAAGTTTGCCTAATCACTAAAAAAAAGCAACATGAAAAGTTAAACCTGCTCATCTTATCTTGAGTTTTTAGGCCTGCAGTAACTGAAGCATGTAAGTTTTTGCTGCTTGTGCAGAATTCTCTGTAGTGTCATTTGAGATATGCTCAACTCATGGCTTAATTGAGGTGGAGCCACATAAGTCAGCTTTAGCAACTTACATGGCTACATCACACACATTAGATTCTATGATTCAATTTGAACTTTCTTCCGATGCGCTGGGTCATCTTGGACTTTTCCTCTGCAAATTCATCATTTCTCCTGGAACTGTTGATACTGCCAAAGAATGTCTTACATGGTAGATCATTTTGAAATCATCTGCAAAACTTGTTTTGTGCATGAAGAACAATTCCAACTTAATGAACTACAAAACATAGAACCCTTCTTCTGTGAAGCTGCCATTTTCGTTTATGGCACTGTCTAGCAGCAGTAGGCAAAAACATGTTTGAATACAGATGGTAGATGAAACTGACACTTACTCTATTGATTGGTGTTCATCACATTTCTAAAGTAATAATTAACATAGTTACAGTAATGTAAAATAGTAGCATTCTTTTTAGAAGATCTTGTATTTAGTTACAGTAGAGTGTTGATTATCTGAATCAATTGGGGACTGGGTTTGTTCGGAAAATCGATATTTCAGATAACCGATTATGTACGAAAAAATATATTAACCTATCCCATGTTGAAATTTTTCTCTGTTGCATGTCGCTTTGCATTGAATTTTTGTCAATGTTAAGCCTAACGTAAACTTTTTAAAATAATAATCGTGACTATTGTATCGTTAAAAATGATTTATTTATTTTGTACAAACAAAATAAATATATTGAAAAATATAAAAACAATAAAAAATTATATTCAGAAGTTAATTTAGTATCAAAAACATAAAATATTTGAGTAGCCCAAGACACAGCCAAAGATTGCAGCGCCACAGCACTGGCGAAAATTTAAATTTGCCGACTGGAATTCTTTCGGATAATTCACGCTCTACTGTACTTGCATTATATATTTTTCATATTGTTTCAGTTATTTTAAGAATTAGGGCTGATTTATATGAAAAGTCAATTGCTATCGCAACACTTCCAACTAGAACCCAATATGCATAATTTCATAGTAACACTTCTATAATGAATGGAATTACACCCCACTAAATTAGGGTTTAAATGTGATTAAAATATTGAACAATATTTTTACTATATTTTTGTAACCAGAGACAGAAATTATGCAAAATTTTATTTTTAGTTAGCATGTTCAGTATGCAAATTGGCAATTATAAAACATGCTGTAGTTCGGGCATCACGCCCAAACTACAGCATGTGGTCCATGGAATGTTATTCCAGCCTGTGGATATGTTTGACACATTACTTATAGATAATAGAAATAGACCTACTTTTTGTATATATAAAATATTTGTGACCCTCCTATTTACAACTCATATGTAATTTGACTTTCTAATCAAGAACTTTGACACCACTAGTGTGAGATACTGTGGGCCAAGGATTAATCCCTACTGACCACTTACTCGGCAACAGTCTGCAAAGACCGCCCATGTTGTCATTTTGGATGGCTTTTTATCGAGTGGCGAGGTAAGTGAGCAAGTCGACAGGCATCCTTGGATAGACAGGACACAGGTTTAACAAAATAAAGCATTTATTGATTAACTAAATTTAGATTACAGGAGGATATGTAAGTGCTAAGGTTAAATGCAGTTATGAGCGATACTATTTACACAAAATGGGCGACTAATCTCAAAACTACACTGGTGTGCAAAACTTAAGGACGAAAGTAACGTTCATATGTTGTGTCACTGCCAAGTAACATAGCTCGATGAAACTTGGCCCATACATAGAAAGAACTGCTACAGTATAGAAGGTAACTGACAGAAATACGCAATGAGACAAACAGAAATGACACTTTTATTCAACGAAAATAATTACACTAAAGTCACCGCAATTTCTGATGGTCCCCTGGACATTACAAAAACGCGGGACATGATTCTTAGTAGGGTGTGTGATCACCATGGACAGCAATGCACGCTCTGCAACGTGCTCCAATGCTGGTGACAAGGTTGGTAAGGAGTTCCTGTGTAGGGCATTCCACTCCTCCACTAGTGTAGTTGACAACTGCTGGATGGTCGTTGGTGCATGTGGACATGCTGCAATACGTCTCCCCAACGCATCCCACACGTGTTCAATGGGATTTAAGTCGGGGAGAACGGACAGGCCAGTCCATTTGCCGAATATCATCCTGCTCCAAGAACTCCTCCACTTGCACTGTTTGATGCGGTCGAGCATTGCCATCCATAAAAATGAAGTTAGGGCTGAATGTACCTCTGAAAAGATGCACATTGGGAAGGAGTACAGTGTCACAATAACATTCCGCGTTCAAAGATTTGGAGGTCAGTACACCCATGCAACATTACGCCTCCCCATACCATAACACCTTGACCACCAAAGTGATCATGTTCGACAATGTTCCTGGGTGCATTACGTGTTCCCACCTCTTGCCATATGAGGGTACGTCCAGAATCACTACTCAGACTGAACCTGCTCTTATCCAAGAAGAGCACGCGACCCCACTCTTCGTTGGTCCAGTCCCTATGCTCTTGGCTCCATCACAAATGGTGCTGCCGATGTGCTGGTGTTGATGGAACGCAATGTACTGGTCGTTGGGCAAAGAGACCACCCTACGCAGTCACTGTGCCACAGTCGAGCATGAGATTGTGTGCCTTGCAGTCCTGTTAAATGCGGTTGCAATTGCACCTGCTGATTAACATGGGTCCCTTATTGCCTATTGCACAACGTGGCCGACCACCTCCTCTCCTTTGGGCAGCAGTGCCTGTGGTTTGGAACGCTCCCCATTCACGTGAAACAATGCTGTGAGCTATACCAAACTCCTGGGTTACACTCATCGCACTTCGTCCTTCTTCCAGTCTCCCAATGATTCTTCCCCGTGTGAAGTCATCCAAATGTTGTCTCTGGGCCATGTTGTAATGAAGAACACTACCACAGTGCACTGTAACTGCTCACTGATTGACACACACTGTCTTTTACCATTTCTTCAACTGCCTTGTGTTGTGTGGCCAGTCACATTTGGCGCTATAGTTGCACTGACCTGACATCATGAGGACGGTAGATCCCTCGACTACATACATAAAAGGTACCTTACTGCAGCGATCGATGATAAGCTGGCGAGAACGCTGGACTCTTAGTACAGTAGGTAGGCCAACCTACGCCTTCGTGCCTGTAGTTGGCCTCACTCCGATAAGTTGTTGCTCGTTGTCGACTCAAATCCTAACTGGCCATGGGAGGTTCCCCCACTTCAAGTCCAAATTTGGACAAGGAGATGGTAGCTGCCCCTGTGGTAGTCCTCGCGGCGACGCGAGGCATTACGTACTTGACTGTCCCTTAACAAGGGACTTCCGCCTAGGGGCAGACCAAGTTGACTGGTCTAAGCCCCCTGAACAAGTACTTCGAACGCTAGCAGCTAGTAAAGGGAACCTAAAGAAACTAAAGGAATTGATGGGAGAAATCATAGATCTTCTTGATCTATAAGTTCTAGTTGGCTTATTTGGGCCCCCTCCACCTGGAGTCAGGGCCCCGCTGTCCGTATACCTACTACACGTAGGTATTGTCTGTGTATCCTACTTTATTGTGTGAGCTATTACAGATTTAGTTGTGTGGACCAAAGTGCAGTACAGGCTGCACAAACAAAAGTTATGCCAAGTTAGCGAGCTGGGCCGGGGTGCGGACGGGAGTCCGAATGATGCATCATAGGGCCCAGCTATGACGTCCCTGTCTACCGCGTCAGGTACCGACCAGTCGATGAACAAGGCATAGTCTCTTTAAACCCTGTAGTGCCAATAGGCGGGGCAGGGTAAAGAGTTCCTTATGAGACTGTGACCTGACATCATGTGATGTCAAGCTTTCTGTGCACAACTGAGAGACCTCTGGCAAGATGCTCCTGCACTTTCATTCATTTCCATCAAGATGTTCATAAGTTCTGTTACTTTATCTCGTCCTTAAGTTTTGCACATCAGTGTATGTCACGTGCCTAATCGCTAGTTTGAGAAAGAGTTTACAAGTTTCCTAGCCCCCAAATACCTCTCAGGCATAGCGAAGAGTCGATACGGCAAACGTCATCTGTATAGAAGAAGTGGGAGTCCTCAGTATCTTCCAACCGGCGTCTTCTCCCTTTAGCTGGATCAGGTCTGCTGTATGGAGGTCAGGAGTCAAGGTGNCTCACTGATTGACACACACTGTCTTTTACCATTTCTTCAACTGCCTTGTGTTGTGTGGCCAGTCACATTTGGCGCTATAGTTGCACTGACCTGACATCATGTGATGTCAAGCTTTCTGTGCACAACTGAGAGACCTCTGGCAAGATGCTCCTGCACTTTCATTCATTTCCATCAAGATGCTCATAAGTTCTGTTACTTTATCTCGTCTTTAAGTTTTGCACATCAGTGTAAGTCACGTGCCTAATCTCTAGTTCGTGTTGCATGACTAATCGCTAGTTTGAGAAAGAGTTTACAAGTTTCCTAGCCCCCAAATACCTCTCAGGCATAGCGAAGAGTCGATACGGCAAACGTCATCAGTATAGAAGAAGTGGGAGTCCTCAGTATCTTCCAACCGGCGTCTTCTCCCTTTAGCTGGATCAGGTCTGCTGTATGGAGGTCAGGAGTCAAGGTGGCACTATCACCAATTATAACTTCCTATGACGATTGCCCCAAGCTTCCAGTAGCTCTCACTTTTATACTATAGTTGTGGGAAAGGGGTCACATGATCGTCAAATGTTGATGCTGACAAAGCATTTTTGACAGCTAAGTGTCAACTTTCCTACTGACTTGTTATTACAATGGGTGACCCCCATCTGATTCTTCATTTTTTCTATCAGGGATATTTATTTGGAAAAATGATTAACATCAATTTGAAAATCCCCTTTAAAATCCACAAGCTCACACTAGTGTAAAAGGCCATTAAAAAACTGAAAAAACAAGCTAGCCTTAATTTCTGCTAGTCAGTATTATAGTTGCTAAATTGTAGTGCAATATATAGTTGCTGAATTGTAAGTGATCAATTTGAATGATTGGTACTAACTTTGAGGGTTTTTCTTGTAGGTTCTTTTCTCCATCAGGTTAATTGTTTCAAGTTTTGAATAACTTCTGTATATTTCCACAGATAAGACAAAGTATAAATTTTCATCAAAGCTTTATAGTTTTAGCATTTGTCTGTCCTATAAGATGANTTTTTCTTGTAGGTTCTTTTCTCCATCAGGTTAATTGTTTCAAGTTTTGAATAACTTCTGTATATTTCCACAGATAAGACAAAGTATAAATTTTCATCAAAGCTTTATAGTTTTAGCATTTGTCTGTCCTATAAGATGATCCCCAAACTATCAACAGCCTGTGAATTTAGTTTAGATCAGCAATCATCATCTGGATAATACTGCTGTATAGTGTATACAGAATTATGTTCTATTTGTAATTTTTCAAATAAACAAATTTTATTTTCTTGTATCTGACAGCACTACCTTGTGATTGTTGCAAACATTTGCACTGATTTGGGCATTTAGGTAATGATCTTGACAACTCACACAAATGTTGTATGGGCTATTCTATTTTGTGGACATACCCTACTCTCTACTAGTAAATAATTAGAATTTGTGTTTTTTCCTCAGTAGCTCAATAAACATAACTTTTAATATTTATTTTGTTCTAGTATTGTTTTTATTGTTACATAACTCATATAGTGTATTTAAATAATATGATAGATTTTTTGATAAGTTGTAGTAATTTTCAAGATCAGTTGCAGTCAGTGGTTGCACGCATAAAGGAAAAGCCTCCATCATTGTTACGTTTTTACCAGGGCTGTGGAGTCGTGTAAAAATCTACCGACTCCAACTCCGACTTTTCCTTACCATCCGACTCTGACTAGGGACAGACTTGTTACCAAAAGAGACCCGGAAATTCTGATGTCGTCACGTGACCTCAGAATAAAATATTCGATAAATAGAGTTGTAATAAAGATAGAGCATAGAAACTTTTATTCCAAAACTAAAAGACTTCTCTAAATAATATATAAATATGTATTCGATAATTTTTACTTTTCTGGCTGTTATATATAACAGAGGAAAAGTGTAGTGCGCGGTCAAAAAATGGCCCCTCCCAAATTTTTATATTTTTGGACTCGGGACACCTTGAAATTTTGAGATATGCAAAAGATTCAAGGTTTTTTCTATATGTGTGGATGTTAGACTGTGTGGGGGGGCATGATTACGTTCACCCTGTTTGAAGCCTAATAATTTCTGTGGTCAGAGTGGTCAGAATCGGAGTCGGATGGTTTAACACAGGAGTTAATTATTTAAGTCAAAGTGGTTGAACTAAATCATGTCCCTATATACATTCTAACATCTTAACGGGTTTTACTGTACTATTATAAAATGGCAATAAAGCTTACTTTGAGGGTAAAGACAAGTTTTATTTTATTTTTTTAAATTTTTGAACGCTAATAATGAGCGAAATATTCATTAAGAGATATGACACATGACCACTTTTATGTCTTAACCCTTGCAACAACAATTGTTGTTGCAAGGGTTGTTTCTTTAACAGTTTTGTACCTTTCAAGCTTCAATAAGAAGTAAATGACAATATAAAATACAGAAGAAGATTGTGACTGTCAGTATCTGACCGAATATGACATCATTTTGACTGTTGGAATTATTGTATATATTGATCTTTATGCTTGTTACAATTAGTATCAAACACAGACTGTGGAAAACTTTATAAATTACAAAAATATTATTTATTAATATGAAAATTGTAATTATAAAATTGCAAAAGTGTTTACCTGAAAACCCGGTCTTTTCTTGTGTAGAAACTGTAACATTAGTTTTTGGTGTTTCACAAGAGATACATTTCATGTCATCTTTCGAATTCCTTACAAAGCAGGTAGAACATTCCCAACTTCCAGGAGCAGGTTTGAATTTGTCACCAAAACCTTTAAAGAAAAGCTTGATTCAATTTTTGTTTTACTAAAGAGGTCCTCATCTATTATAATTTAAGATATCATGTATCAATCACTTAAAAATTTAACAAAGTTATAGATCACTTTAGACATTTATGTTCTTTTACATGCTTGACATTTATGGAAGATATTAATAAATTTTGATACTGGTTTGACAGAACAAGAAAAGATCTCTGTAAAAATATATGTGAATATATGTTTTATTTTTGAACTGTAAAGACCAAATGCCAAAATAGAGATGATGATACATGTCAACAACAAGTTCAATAAATCCTCTCTGCTGACTGTCAAGATCAAGAAAAATAATGAGAAAAACAAATCACTGGTGCAGATCATCATTTTAATTTTGCCATCTGTGTGTCTTTGTCTTCATCTTAACTAGAATAATAGTTATATAAAGTAAACTGTTTTAAATTCACTAGACTAGTGGTTCTCAAAGTATGGCTCATGGATGGTATAGGGTATGGTGGGTTCAAACTGATTGATTGATTAATCATTTTTCTAAAATGCAATGTATATTGTCATAAGAAAAAGTATATTTATCCACCAATATTTTTTCATCTAAGGCAATTTCTGCAGGATAAGACATAAATAGTCTACATTTCATCTGTAACTAGGTTTAAGTGGCCTTCCAATCAATATAACTGCAAACCACTGCACAAATGTAGTGCATGGGTTAGATTTATGGTGCAATAGATAACTGGATTTATTTCTGCACAAGCTACATAATCCATATTATGGATAGTCTTACAGATGAAATCAACAATACTCTGCATCTCCTTTCACACTCTCTAAACATAAAAATGAACTTCTAATATCCTCAAAAATGAATATTTAAAAACTTTTAAATCCAATAAACATGATTATTATGATGAGGGGGCATCAACCCAAAACACGTATTGAAACTTGGAACAATTAGTTTAAAGACTGTGAAGTACATAAGAAAATAAAGTGGATATGGAAAAGTCCAGTGTCTACACTTCATGGTATTTCAAAATATAACATATAATAGGACACAGTTTCAATACAAAAAATATTATTATTATTATTATTATTATTCTCTCNTTGTGTCATGTCTGTATGTTGTAAGTGTAAGTTTAATGGTGTGTTATTTGAGTCTGCTAGAGTTACTGCTTTATGTAACTGTGATGTTTCTTGTTTCTTGTAGAAAAACTCTCGCAGTGACTGTATTTGTTTGTAGTGAAGGTTAACTATGTCTTATTATTATTATTATTATTCTCTCCTAACTCACCAACAGTGACTTATTGATGAGACTATGTCTCATCTCTAAAATTGTGCTGCTGTCAACGGCTGCACATCTTAAGATGTATGAAGGCGTACGTGTCAGGAGTTGCAATTTGGCACAGAATATTTTGTGCCCAAATCATGTGCACATAAAATAAACCAGACTTGTAGGTAGTCAGGGAACCGAGAACTGAGTCAAAAGAAAATACAAAATGCTGAGACTGTTTCTACAAACAGGTGCAAGTGAGAGATCTGCACATGTGTTTTTCGTACTCTCTGAGACATAGTCTCATCCCATAAATGGCTTTGCTGTTTTACTTGTTTTTTACCATAATTATTTACAACAGATAACAGATGGCTATAATCTACTACAGTATCATAATTGAGTAAAATCACAACAAACTACTTGAAGATACATGTTTATATATATACAAAGAATATTTTTTTTCAAGCTCTGATAGTTCATAAAACAAAGACAAGTGTTAATAACAAAATTAATTTATTACCAAAAGTTAGGTACAAACATGGTTACTTTTCAACATAATCACCGTGAAGATTGAAGCATTTGTCATATCTATGGATGAGCTTTTCCATTCCTTGTCATAGAATGTTGCCGCCAGTGAATTGAGATGGCCTTAACAACATTGTTTTGAAGATCATCATTAGTTCATTAGTCTCAAACCGCTGCCCTGCTAGCCACATTTTTAGTTCAGAAAAGAGGTGGAAGTTTTCATACATTAAAAAGTTTTAAGCTGGGTGGACGTCTTCACCATCTTTAAACACCCAGCATATAGCCCCGATTTAGCACTGAGCAACTTCCATCTCTTTCCTGAACAGGAAAAGTGGCTAGGAGGGCAGAGATTTGATACTAATGACAATCTTCAAAAAAACTTAGGACCCATCTCAAGTTACTGGCAGCAACATTCTATGACAAGGAATGGAAAAGCTCATCCACAGATATGATAAATGCCTCAATCTTCACAGTGATTATGTCAAAAAGTAACCAAGTTTGTACCTAACATTTGGTAATAAATTCATTTTTTATTTACACTTGGCGTTTTTTTTATGGACCATCAGAGCTTAAAAAAAACAGCCTACATACTTTTTATGTCATGTCCAAATTAATTACAATTTGTATCATCTTAAGTCAATTTAGATTAGGTGAAATTTTTTAAAATACTTTAATTAGATCCCATCTGTCTTTATGCTTCAGAAATATAAACATGCAGACTTATGTATAAGTATCCACAGAGGGGGATAACAGAGCACTTGCTCCCTGGGATCAAGTAAAAAATTCCACAAATTAATAATTATAAAAGTGATTGAGATATGTAACCTTACACTCTCAATCATAGTTTGCTTTGTCTCTTTTTTTGTATTGATTCAATACTGTATTTTATAATTATCTTGTAAAAATTAATTGTAAAAATTTTTGGGTGGGTTAAAAAATCCACCCAAAAAATTAAATTTAAAAAATTTATTGATTTATTTGCCTCCGAACTTTGCTTCTCCCTTGAAAATTTTCTGCAGATGCCCACAAACTTACAAAAAGATGCTAATAATATTTTCTAATAAATTTTAAAGAAATATTGAAAAACAATTATTAAAATTCATATTTAAATACAAAATGCAAAACAAAAGACTCCTACCAATAGGTTTAATTTGTTTCTGTTCCACAGAAGTATCTGGTTCTTTTGAAGCAGATGAAACCTTTTCCTCGGTACAAGCAACTTTTTCATTAGACGAATCTTCCTGTTTTGATTTTTCTAAAATCAAAAAAGTTTATTTCCAATGAATTGTCTTTTCAAATCTCTCATTGTTTAATAAGTATTAAATTTGTGTGAAAAAATTACTTTTGAAGAAAACACTTAAAACACTTTAATTTATTTGTTCTCAATATTTTACAGGATAAATTATTTTTCAGTAACATGTATTCTTCTAAATTGTATTGATTTAACCGGATCAATCATTAATTATATATCATTTGTATCAATACAAAACTGTATAATTTGTGATTACATAGCCTTAATTTAAAAATGATTCAATTATCTTTCATAATTTTAAAAATTATTGAACCATTTTCTTTATTACTATTGCCATGTTGTCTGAATCCCTTACCATTTAGCATGTGAATCAATTTAATTATAAGTATGCCAAATTGTCATTTTCTGTTTACTTTATTTTATTCATTATATCAAATAAAAACACTCTTCCATTTCATTTATAACTAAATAATCCATAATACATGCACATGAAAATTTGTTGTCAATGATATTTTTTTAGAAAAACAAATACACTGGAACCTCGCTTAATGAGCATAATTCCTTCCAGAATCTTAATCGTAATGAGAAACAATTTTTTCTATAGAAATTAATGTAAAATACGATAATGCGTTTCATGCCAAAAAAATACTCAAATATTTTCACATGAAAATTTGTTGTCAATGGTATTTTTTTAGAAAAACAAATACACTGGAACCTCGCTTAATGAGCATAATTCCTTCCAGAATCTTGATCGTAATGAGAAACAATTTTTTCTATAGAAATTAATGTAAAATACGATAATGCGTTCCATGCCGAAAAAATGAGAAACAATTTTTTCTATAGAAATTAATGTAAAATACGATAATGCGTTTCATGCCAAAAAAATACTCAAATATTTTATGTCTAATGTTTATTCAAAGAAAATTACACAATATACATTGTTAAAAAGCAGCATGAATCAACCTAACCTTTTCTTCTAGCACAGAATGAACCAACCTGGAATGCAAATTTGATTTACAGAAAAAAAAATTCACAGGTAATATGCCTGAAGACGTCAAACAATATGCCAAATTCTAGGGCTATGTAAAGGCTATAATTAAATATTAGAAATTAATTAATTTGACTAGAGGTAGGCAGTTATGCTGCCATGTATCGACAGATGGCGGGAAC